GGGAGTGATTGCCAGGCAACTCTAGTGATCATCCTGGAACATGCAATTACAATACTGTTTGTTTTAGAAGAATTAACGTCCAGCCCAAAAGATTTACTCCATTCCAAAATAATAATCAAGTCACTATTAGTGGCCAATACTGCATCACCAAGTTGACCAACGGGTGCTTGTTGATAAATTTACAGGTCATCCGCATATAGTTGGTAGGAAGAAGAAATATTTTTAAAAATAGAATCGATCAATACAGCGAAGAGTAGAGGAGATAAGACACCGCCTTGTGGAACGCCAGCAGTCGTGTCACACCAAGAAGAAAACGTCTCCTCGAGGCGGACTCGTTGCCTGCGCCCATACACATAACTGTGAAACCACCCAATCGCCGATGGAGATACATTAAGTGAACGTAACAATGCCAAAAGAATTTCAAAGTTGACAGTATTAAAGGCATTGCTAAAGTCCAACAGTGTTAATACCGTAAGGAAACCGTGGTCCATCCCAAGACGTATGTCATCTGTGACTATCAGCAAGGTAGTTGTAGTACTTTGCCCTGGACGGAAACCGGACTGAAAAGGATTGAAGAGATCGTGGCGAGAACGGAATATATTAAATTTATTAAGTACAAGGCGCTCAAGAGCCTTAGATAGAAAAGGAAGAATGTAAATGGGACGAAAATCAGTGACAAATTGAGGATTTGACTTTTTTGGCAGAGGGATAATTTGAGCTGGCTTCCAAGCGTGTGTAAAAGGTGTATACGGGCAATTTGTAATATAGCCCCGGATGTTTCTTGTAGAACATATTTTAAGGACCTAAATATTTTAACTTTGACTTCTTTGTACATTCTCGAAGTAGCAACTTTTGTAAAGCAGCACTACCATTTGTATACAGTCGCAAAAGATGTAACAGATCGAAGTCTGAGGTATCCTAATAAAATAAAAATGGACATAGTTCCGAAAACAAAGCGATTCCAAACAAATGCACCGGCGATGGCAATTAAAATTTATAATCAAATTCCAGAAGAAATTAAAAGCCAAACTTTTAATAAGTTCAAGTCAAAACTTCGTAAGTGGTTAAATGAAAACACGTTTTACAGTATGGTTGAGTTCATGAATTATGGTAGGATTTGATGCATGGGTTAAAGACATGCTTAATGGGTTTAAATATAACATTTAATTCTGATTCTTTACAAGACCATTCTAATTATGACATTCAGATAATTATGGACGTGATAAATTGATGACATCGAATAATTAAAATATTATAATAAGAATTATTGACATTTATATAGGTAATTTAATAGAAAAATTTGCATGTTATCTTTATATGACTAAATAGGTTAAGAGACAACTTAGATGAAATGTAACACCATTATTTGTACCCTATTTAATGCAAATAAATTGAATTGAATTGAATTAAAAGCCGATGGAAAAACAGCGTTAAGAATATAATTGTTAAAAAGGAAAATCAGCACAGGAAGAATTATATCTAAGATTGGTATATATGTTGCGACTTATACTGTCACTTCCCACCGTATTGGATGAGAAAGAAAGCACACTCTTCTTAACGTCACACACCATACAATAATGGTAATAATAATACTAAAATTGAAGTGTCAAATTAATTACTGAAAAAAATTACGAAGTGCAAAAATATAAAAAAGAATAAAGATTAATTAGATCGAAAAGAAGCACATTATTATTAACAAATAGGTACATTATTTTAAAAATTGGTACCACTGTATTTTGTCTTTTACTCAATAAAACATATTATTAACGGTATGTAATTATAAAGAGAACAGAATAACAGTAACCATTTTTTGAAATTCCTATACCATCCCATACCATTAAAAAACCCCAATATATTTTTTAATGGTACTAGTGAAGTAAAAATGTATGAGTAGTATCATCGATGGTACATCTTACGTAGAGGAGGTTTCAGCATCAATCAGTAAGGTAATGTTTCATGGAAGGCATTAATAATATACAGTTCCGGAAACATCATTCAGCATCAATCAGTAAGGTAATGTTTTCATGGAAGGCATTAACAATGTACAGTTCCGGAAACATCTATCGGCCCACCTAGCATTTGAATTTTTACGGTCCCTTGCGAAATAGAGATGTTGCATTGAGTAAAAAGTTATTAACTACGCAATTTTGAAGCTGATTTAACAACCATCTTTTCGTGTGCTTTAAAAATTATTGTTCAACCTAAAACTTTTATTTTTGCTACAGACCGTTAAAATTTATAATACGGAGTGGGCCGATAGATGTGTCCGGAAGCATATATAATACAAACCCGAGCATACAAACTGTAGCCTGCACCGAAGCGAAGCGACAAAGGCAAAACACTAGTGAGTGTAGTAAAAAAATGTAGCCAACTACTATTTGCATAGGTATCAGTAAATTCTGACGAAACTTCGTGCAATGTTAACGCTTTCATTACATGCAGATACAATTTTCATTGGCTCGTTTCGCAATGTAGACGGTGATCTTCAACAGTCTACTATAAATGTGTTTATTTTCCCTTAATGAACCGTTGCAGTGCCATAAAATGTTATGTTGGACCTTAATGACCATGAAATAATGGTTTTTTTACAGTTTTCTTTTTAATGTTGTTCCTGACTGTACACTGTTCTTTTCGAATTGTCCGTGACATGTCTTGGGAATGAAAATCAAAAGATTTACGTTTCTACTTAGCTACATACTGATAAATATGATAATGAATGAATGAATGATCTATCTTTATATATATAATTCTTCTGTGAGTGTGTATGTCACTGAACTTCTCTTAAACGACTGGGCCGATTTTGATGAAATTTTTTGTGTGTTCAAGGGGATCTGAGAATGGTTTAGATTCACAATTTTGTCCGCTGGACAACCCCTATTTTTTTAGGGCGGTACGAAGTTCGCTGGGTCAGCTAGTATTCATATAATAAATGGTAGGAAAGTCAAAACTGAACATTGAATATTTTTTTAAAGAATACTTGGGGTGTGATCTACAAAGTATACTGAAGCCAAAAATATAGTTTTTAGTATTTTTGTCTGTATGTATGTCCGGGATAAACTCAAAAAGTACTGCATGGATTTACTTCACATTTGGCACGAATATTATTTAGATAAGTCGGGTCAACATATAGGCTACATATTATCACGCTATCACCTACGGGGAACGAGCAGTGAACGAGCAGCGTTCTAACTAACTCGTACGAAGTCGCGGGCGGCCGCTAGCATAGAATATTTCTTTTAAGAGAGGTAGGGCATAGTGGCTTTTCGGCTAGAATTGGAGCGCCCGTCTGGGGAAGTAACCACTCACCTTGCAGGACACTGCAGTATCATAACACTACCTACCACTTGCTGTTTATTTCTGTCGAGGATTAAGGTTCCAGGGCTCCATGAGGTAGGGGATTGCGTAGGCAACGGCGCGAGTAATATTTTTGGTACCGCAAGCAACGATATTAAATACCCTAGATACCTCTAAACCACGTGCGCTCAAAATGTGTCCCAATCAAGAAGTGTTTGAACTCCACTCAAGCACTTCTTGGCTCACAGTCACGCGCGGACTGTTGAAAAGTCAAGTTGCCGTAGAGCTCCATGAAAAAAATGCGAAAAAAAATACTCATAGTATGTAAAATGTCGTTTTTTCGACAGGTATGTAATTAATGTTTGTTAATTTAACGCATTTGAAACTAATTTTATTCTAATACTTTCTATAAACTGATTTAATAGAAAATATTTGTGATATTATTTAAAATACTAGCAAACCAGTGAACCAAATGTTCACCAAAACCGGATTTAAAAAAAAATGTATATATAATTAATTGAGAACTTCGGAGATTTTGTGCGGTTTCGTTTGAAATTCGTGATTTCTCGAAAACCGGAAGTGCTACGTTACTCAAATCCGGTTTGTAGTCTTATCAGACTATTCTTAACTTATAACTTAAATATTCTCTTTATCTATCTCTAACGGTTTGGCCGCTGAAACAGCACCACGGACGGACGGACTTGTCTAATAGATAAGAGATAATGCACTTGCTGTATTGCTAACAGCGCATTCAGAATTGCGCGTAGTCTATATACTTGCGCATATAGCAATAATTCGTAAAATTTAACGATCTTGCATTTCAAACTGTCATATCTCTTTGACGCATGCGTTTTAATTAAAACCTTATACGGTATGCATTAAAGGTGACTTTTAATGTTAAAATAATGTCTAATATTGTTTTCGACTACGCGATCATCTTACCTTATGTACCTTTTGGCAGTGGCGGATTTACCAGTAGGCTCAGTAGGCTGGAGCCTAGGGCGGCAGATTTAAGGGGGCGGCAAATTTGGCCCAAAATCTACACAGAAAAACGAGTGACAAAAATTTTAATATTTTAGTAATACACAGTATACTCAACACTCTTACGTCCGTAATCCGTATATAAAAGATTACTAAACGCACTGTAAAATATAGGTATGTACTTATGCGATCATGAATTTTTAAAATAATCCATTAGCGTTTCAATATTAATTACATTTTAGTATTTTAGTAATTTTTTAAACTGACGGGGAAAAGCCGACGTAATGTGGACGATAGAAGACAAATCATAAAGTTGCAATTTCAGAATAAATATAATTGTGAACTAGCGTATTGAATTTCAAAGGTCAGTAGGGGAGGCAAAAATTTAATAGCCTATTAGCGGCAAATTTGTAAATCCGCCACTGCCTTTTGGACAGGTTTCGGCCACGATTTTGTTCGTGTTGTTATATCTAGGGTATTTAATATCGTTGACCGTAAGCGTCTATATGCTATGGTGGCCGTTAACAATAAGCTTGTTGGCCCCACCCCCTTTTAACATTAAAAAGATACTTACTTAAAACGATGCACAGTTTTTAGTTCCAGTAGGCATGCATTCATCAAAGTTTGGGTTTGGCCTACGATCAGGTTTTTTTCTATGGCTCCAACTCCTTATAGGTACTCAATACCCAATTATTTAGAACATTTCAGAGAAATAAAACGAAACATCTATATCAATAAAAAAATACCTTTATTAATTTTCTCTTAAGACTAAAATAACACAGCCTGCGAAATATTTATAAAAAATATTCTCGTTAATCACAAGAAGGGTCCCCATCCAATGTACATTTGACACAGATTATGTACGCTGGTAGCTTCGACTATTAAGTGTTCCACTTGTCCCTCAGGGGACAATGATAGCGATAGTTGCTTATTTTTCGTACGTACCTGGAAAGGAAACAAAATGATTTCTCAATAATCACACTAATATTATAAAGGCGAAGGTTGTGAGTGTATATGTTTGTTACTTCTAAACGGCTGTAGCTATTTAAATAATACGGTATGGAGGTAGCTGACACCCTGGATTAACACATTGGCTACGTTTTACTTCGGGAAAATATTCCAATAAACCGCGGGTAACACCGCGGGCACAGCTAGTTAATTATAATATTAATATATTTATGATTACTCAATAATTTAAACTCATCATCTTAGTTTCAGGTAACAAACAGGACATCTCATCATCAGTGAGTCATTAGGTAATAAAACAATAAACGGTCAATGGGATATCGAGATTGGGCCATGACCCATCACGTGGGAGCAATGCGTATTGGTGTGCTAACGACAGAAGTTGCAGACGAAATTAACGTCTCAACGTGTTCCTTTTACTACAGAGGAGCTCGAGACAACATATTTTAGTCACCCATCTTAGCTTCAAAGTTGAAAGTTGCTTATTTTCCACGATCGCCGAACTGACCGAAGACACTAACGCAATACGCTATCGAACTCGTCCTCACACTCACGCACACCAATTATTTAGTCGTAAACTTTTTTTTTATTATTGGCGGTGCCTTTTATGTAGTTTTTAGAACATACACATACAAACTTTGATCCAACGACATTCGAACCTAGGAAGTTTAAGTAGGCGACACTTTGAAAACCGATGTATATATCACTCACACAAAGGAGGTCGTCAAAATAAATACATTCAACATCAGCCTATTAATGTCTAAACTGCAGGGGCACAGGCTTTCCCTATGAATGGAATAAGGTGATTAGGCTATGACCCACCACACGGGCCCAACTACGGTTTAGCGGATGCTGACGACTGCAGATACAACCGGTACCTACAGCTTAACGTGCCTTTCGAAGCACGGAGTTCGAAATAGTAAATTTTTGTTCACCCATCCAATGACTGACCACTGCGAAAGTTGCTTAACTTCAACGATCGCAGCCGAACGCACTAACCACTCACGCCATCGAGCTTCTTCCTATTTATATATTTAGTAGTAAAGTAACATATTATTTTTTATACCCACCATTCCGTTCCAACGCTGTCTGATATATTGCAGAAGCTGCAAAACCTGCTCGTTGGTTCTCTCACCAGTATCGACATTCCTGCCTCAGTCCCAAGTTACCGTAAACAAACGGGTCGATGACGCACATCAGCAAAAAATCAGTATATTCGTCATCAGCCTTTAATTTCCCAACTGCTAGGGCACAGGCCTTCCCTATTGATGGAATAGGGAGATTAGGACATGACGGATTGGTGGGTGCTAACGACTGCAGATGTAGCCAGGACCAATGGCGTAACGCGCTTCCCGGAACACGGAAGAGCTCGAGATAGTAAAATTTGGTCACAAATCCAATGCCCGACCACTGCAAAGGTTGTATAACTTCAACAATCGCAGCCTAACGCGCTAACCACTTGCGCTATCGAGCCCCTTCATAAATACATATTTAGTCGTGAAAGATTTTTTCTTTTACACTGACCATTCCGTTCAAACGTTGTCTGATATGTTGCAGATGCTGCAAAGCCTGCTCGTTGGTTCTCTCGCCAGTATCGATATTCCTGCCGCGGCCCCAAGACACCAGCGGGTCGTAAACAAACGGGCCGATGACAGACATAAGCGCGGCCGTTTGAGCTCTCAGCGCGCGCATCACGGCCTCACAACTTTTCCTATTCAAAAACAAACCATTGTTAAATAATATATGAACCTTTAAAAGGTTTTTGAACTTTACGGGTTTCGTGTTCGCAGAAATTGGTTCGAAGTTCGGTGTTTTTTTTTGTTCTACTTCTTTGCATAGGTACGGTATTAAGTAGCAACATTGTGAATATTGATGAGGTTTGAAAAGGGATAGAGTGAAAGTTTCTACATTGTGTAAATTTGGAATGATTAAAAATTTTATTGTGATGGTTTTGAATTTCATATTACGAGTTTTCGAACTGGGTTTGCCTATAGTATTAATCCATACCAAATATAATATCTGTATGTATGTAACCTTTTCACGCTTAAACCACTGAACCGTGAAAGGGCATAGGATTTGAAATCATCCTTTAAAAAGGTGAAAAGAAGGGTGGAATTTTGTATGAGAAATCAATTGAACAACGCGGGCAAAGTCACGGGCTAGTAGAAAAAAACCATTAATAAACAAACACGAGCCATGGCTCCTACATCCTGAAACAGCGAAAGTTTCATAAAGGGCTTCTGTATTGAGACAACATATTTTTGCGATTGAAATAAAAGTACTGAAATGAAATTACACTTTATTCAAATTCACTTATTGAAAGTTCTTTTGAATCATCCAATATTTTTTCTTACTTCCCATTCAGGTCATACTTTATTTGTCGAAAAGAATGTGCACAAGAAACTCATCAGCATTGAACAGAAGTAGCAACATTTACAAAAATATCATGTCGCTACCAATACAACGTCCACTCACACTATGATTGCTGTGCCATACAGTGTAAATACAAACAGTGTTCATATTATGTATAACATCTTATTAATAACGCAGTATAGAGCAGACTCATCCCCGTGTGATGCTAACGGGGATGGGTCTGCTCTATACTGCGTAATCGCCATCGTAATCGAATTAGCCGGGAAAGCATCGAACTATTAATCGCAAAGGGGGTATAATGCAAATCCATACTCATTTTGGGTTGTCAATATATTGAAATTACTCTGTCCAAAAGGGTTAAATCTAAATTTAGAAACTATTTTATATACTATGACTCTACCAAGAATTAAGTGAAAATTTTACCTTATTATGGGTTCTGGTACAACTATGAATTTAGAATGTTACCGACCTCGCTGCATCTGGGTAGTTTATGTCTGGTGTTGTAAATATTTAAGGATGGCCATTCAAACTGCTGGTTACATCAGAGGTTTCGTCAATTTCCCCATGATGTTATTGAAATTTAAATTAAGATAAAGAAAAAAAAACGCTTATCGCTGAAAATAAACATTCCGTAGATTAGCACATGGCTTACAACAAATGAAAAAATGTAAAACGAAGGAAAACACTAAGGTTCTTACCGTTTTATAAACAAATTAAGCTTGGAATATGGCCATCGCCATTCCGTGCAAATGATGCAAAATTTTACATCTGAAAACAAAATCAATCCTCATATAAATTATGGAAATATATGAATAAAAACACTTTTTTAATTTGGAAAAACACCATTAAAAACAATCGATAATCTAATGGATTATCAAGTTAAAAATTTAGATTAACAAATGACCATCTTATGGGTCTAAATTTTCGTCGTGAAGTGAAGTGACATTCGTTTTTTTCTTAAATTCGTTTCCTCTTTCCGGGTAGGCAAAGAGAATAACGTCCATACAGCTTACTGCTTGATTAAGGCGGAAACACACTTACCCAAAAGTGCATACATTAAAGAAAATGGGCGCGAGATAAAAACGAACAGAGAGAGACAACCTAAGAAAGTCTTCTATCTCGCTCTTCGAGCGAAGGAGATTCATGTAACGTTTTTAACACGTTACAATGTTAACACTGCTTTGAACGAAAAAAAACCACTCGGAGAAAGTTCAGAATCGGGTATTTGTGAAGTAGATATAACTTTAGATTCGGGGGTTAGTTTTTTAAAATAATATGGTATGGTACCCTTATGGTACCCTTCATCTAAATATAATGAAATAGAAAGAACAAAGTATATTTTTTTTGGTTTAATGAACTATGTATTTGTATAACGAATCTGCAGCACATAAAACTTTAACGTGTTTGTGCTGCATAATATCAACTTCATAAATATTTTTATTTTTTAAACATTTAACTGCATTACTCATTCGAAAGGGATTTTATTAATACATAGCATTTCACAAACCTGAACATTCCCTCGTGTTTCAACGGTCCCATAGCCGCCTCCATGTTGTGCGTGAGTCTGAAGGGTACGCGTTCCGGCCATTCGAAAGCCTCGCCCTTTTTGAATATGCAGTTGTAATCCACGTGTACTGTTATAATAATATAATGATTATAGTAAGCAGTAAGCATTTTACAAACCTGAACATGCCCTCGTGTTTCAACGGTCCCATAGCCGCCTCCATGTTGTGCGTGAGTCTGAAGGGCACGCGCTCCGGCCATTCGAAAGCTTCGCCCTTGTTGAATAGGCAGTTGAAATCTACGTGTACTGTGTCACCGTTCGTCGAGTCGAAGGATACATTCTCACCGTGCCTGTCGCCGAGACCTACGATGGAGGGAAAGGACAAAAAATACACACCTATTACAGTATAATCAACTGGGAATAGGGGTAGAGTTACCAGAATCATCAACGCTGCAGCAGCCCTGGTGTTGCTGGTATTAAGCTGGGGCAGGGACCTAGTTGGCCTATTTTGGATTGTTTTTTTATTTATGTTAACATGTCTATGTTTATGGCCATAAATGAATGATTGGTCTCGCTTTACTCAACTAGATACCGCCGGCGTACTTGTCTAATGCGGCAACAAATACCATGATGCCGAAATCGGCATACCCGAGCTTTCACCGAGCCAGTCAACGTGACAGTTGTGTATGGGGTGTACGTAGTGAATGTTTTATTAAATTTGGTGTTAATCGAAAGTAAAATGGCAGTTTATGCAGTGAAATAATACAACAATACATAAAAAGGACGCTGGGATCACATAACATCAATAAGTATAGTAAAATTTGGAAACATATTTGTTTCTTAGGTTTTCACGCACATCACTCATTAAATAAAACTAGTTTTTACGGTTTAATGCACGAAACTTTATTTATTTATTGACGTTTCGCAGCCTTTTCAGGTCTGCATCGTCAGAATAATGATTTTTTATTTAAAATTGTCGAGCTACCTTCGAAGGTAGCTCGACAAAAAAACTAGTTTTATTTATATAAAATTTGGAAATTTCAACATAAAATAACATGAACCTTAAACTTTTTTTTTTGTTAAAGTTCTCCCGTTTTAGGGAAGGCAAAGGGAACAATGCCCATACAGCCTGGTCTTTAATAAAATTAATCTTCTTTTTGTTTTTACATTAGAATGTCAGTGTGACGCATTCTAATGTTTCTTGGAGTGTTTGGCACGAAATGTATTGAGTTGGCTTTTTCGATAAGCTTCTGTGAGGTAGTCAACACTACAATAAAATTCTCATGTCCACTTGACCGGAATAGCGTATATTTTAACGATTCCACTAATTCTTCAGTTATGCAGACGGTTGTTACACAAAACCACACCAATTTTATTTCACAATATCCACTATGAACGAATTTAAAAATAATTAAAATAAGACGCCAAGCGCACTCGATGAAATCCCGCCAAAAACTCCATGAACCTTAAACGTCATTCAGGTGTTGCCGCGTATACAAGAATAAAGTCCCTATGATTTAGATTTTTATAATGTGAATTTATTGAAAGTGTATTTAATTATTGAACCTATCTATGTTATTTAAACTTGCAATTAAACTTAATCTAGTTTTATATTATTCAACGTTTATCTTTGTAATCTACCTTGTATTCCTATAATATTGTGTTATTATTTTTAATAACATTTTTTTCAACACATTTGCTCGTAAAGTGACTGATGATAATCACAAAGCTACGGCGGTATAGCCAAAGAGATTTTATTACAAGTTAATACATACTATAATGCGAAAAGACTTTTTCCCCAACCTATTATTTTAAGAATAATCCGCTTTATTAAGTGAGTATCAAAGACGTTAGGATAGCTAGACACATAAGCAGGCCGGCATTAATCACAGCCGAGCGGTAAAATCGAATATTTGTAGATAATTTTTCGGTACAACAAGTGCGGTATTTACTTTAGGTCGGTTTTATTGTTGGAAAAATACTGCCGAACCGACTATGCCGGCTCGCTTATGTATATTAATACCCTTTCAAGTGAGGGAGAGCGATAAGATTGATTACAAGCTATTCTCATCACGCTTCCATTATTTGTCACAGTAAGTAAATTCAGACTTTCTGCTCTCTTCGCGTATGGACTCCACTTACATTTAACAAATAGAACACATTGCAAAATAATAATAAATGGAATACTAACTTACCTAATATGTACCCAACCATGGACATGACAGCTGTGGTTCTAATATATGCTGATCTAGCTTGATACCTTTACAAATATAAAGAAAAACTGTTAAAAATCAAAGTAACTCTTATAATAAATTGTCTGATATTAACAGAATAATTTTAAAAAATCCTGTCCATTTATTAAAGTAATAGAAAAAAATACCTATTTTAGCCATCTGGCAGATGACTGCTGAAAAATACAAGGAAGTATAGGGTGTTTAGTAGGTTCTGGCCGTACACTTACAGAGTTGCGGCCAGAAAACATAAGGATCAGAAAACAAAAACGCATCATCAATAAAAATCTGAAAATAAAAACGCACCATCCATAATCATCATCATCATCATCAGCCTATTAATGTCCCCACTGCTGGGGCACAGGCCTTCCCTATGGACGGAATAGAGAGATTGGGTCATGACCCACCACGCGGGCCCAGTGCGGATTGGTCGGTGCTAACGACTGCAGATGCAACCGGGTCACCCATCCAATGACCGACCACTGGGAAAGTTGCTTAACTTCAACGATCGCAGCCGAACGCGCTAACCAGTTGCGCCATCGAGCTCCTCCATCCATAATGGTTCAATTAAATTTGGTCGTCAGCCCGTATTCGGGTGCGCGAAAGACTTCTACTACTCGAATTCGAGCACCCGAGGCAATATTTACACTGGAATACGGGCTAGAAATCGGTGTTGAGTAAATAAAATGAAAACTACTCGAATACGGGCGTACTCGACTCCGTTCACTTACACATTGGCACTCGTATTCGGGCTAACGACCAGTGTAAACGCGCCATAAAAATCAAACAACAAAAACCCACCATCCATAAGGATCCGAAAAAACTCGCCGGAACCATTCCTGGAATACGGGCGGGTGTCTCGGCAACAGCTGGTCTTCGTACATACGCCGCTTCTTCTCCACCGGGTCTTTGCTCGAGCACATCATTTCTTTCAATTCGCGATTGCTCGTGTGAATACCTGTTGCGAATATTACGATGATATACCTAAATAGCAATATTAATAACGGAAGATAAATTTAATTTGCATATGGCAATTTTCGATCTTCTTTTATCGTTTACTGAAACATGTGAATACAAGGTTTTCCGTGTCATCCGAGTTTTAATTATATACGAAAGGCCAACCCTATCGAGTTAGCAGGATATATGTAAACAGGTACTACTAAAATAGTTCTTCGAGCCGGATTTGAACCAGCGACCTATGGATTTAACGAAATTGAGTGCTAGTTTAGATGTTAAAATTTTCTATAGATATACATCATAAGACTGAACGGGTAACGCTGTGCTTAAAGAAAAAAAACCCTAACGGTTCATAGTACTCATAGACGTCATTAACATTTAAGTTTGATTGAAGTCCTTTGACGTGACTTTAGTTGACATTACATTTATTTGACGTCTCTAACTACGGCCATAAGCGCTGGTCATGTGGGGACTTGTCAGATTAGCTATTCAACATTGCTTAACCTTCTAATTTGGAACGTTAAAAAGGTAGCCTCTTTTACGATGTGAATTTTTAATGTTCCAAGAAAAAGTAGTCTGTGTCTGTCTATCTGCCTACCTGAAACTAGGCTTGTTTTAAATTAAGTTGAGAATTAGACAAAAATCTACTTTAAGTGAGTGAGGATTTTATGTAATAACATATGCTGGGTTATAGAGGGGAAAGGGAATTTTAGTTTCTAAATTTGATTAAAATTCTATCTTATACTAGCTGACCCAGCGAACTTCGTATCGCCATAAAAATATGGATGGTAGAAGGGTGAAAATTTAGAGCTGTATGTATTTTTAATGCCACATTATAAAAAAAAACCAAAATCTAAAAAAAATGTTAGGGGTGGACAACCCTTATCACTTAGGAGTATGAAAAATAGATAGTAGCCGATTCTCAGACCTAGTGAATATGCATATAAAGTTTCATAAAAATCGGTCAAGCTGTTTTGGAGGAGTATGGTAACTAACAGTGTGACACGAGAAATTTATATATAAGATTAGGTACTCAAAACTCACCTTTCTGCTTATAAATGTGCATAAGTATCGGTCTCAAACCAACCAAATTGGGTACCCACTCGATCAGGCCGCACTCTTCATTTAACGGTAGAACGCTGTACGTCCTTATATAAAGTCTTCTGCGACGCGTATCCGGTGCGTCTTGTAAGAATCTGTTCACGACTCCATTGAACTCCATGAGACGATAGTCTTTGCGAAGGTCGTCGCGGGGCTTCAACATTATTATGTAAGATTTGCCGTCGGAACCTAAAAGGGAATGTATTATTAATTCCACTACCCGATGGCACTCCGATACGTTTTTTATTACGATGGTACTATCCAAATAATGTAATTGTTAATTAACGCAACCACGCGTCAATTTTGTGAATAAAAATATTTTAATGCCTCTCTTACAACTGCGCGACGAAGTTTCGATTACTAATTGCACAAAAATTTACACGCTAATAAAATTTCTGCGCAGAAGGCGTGTTTATACGCTCCTTCGCAGGCGAAGACACGCAAAATTATCGTGCCCCAAAACCCCTTCGATCCGTGGCAAAAACCGCGAGTCAAGCTATCATCTAGCGTCTATCATCACGCAGCTCGATACTTTGTTACGATACCTGCTAATGGTTTCCTACACGTGAAGCTTCGTGGCAATTGACGCAGATGTGGGAGAGGCATAGGATGTACGCTTTTGAATGGAAAGTATATAAAACAACACACCTTTCAATGTAACCTTCCTTGGTTTCTGCAGAGATGGTAGTATAGTGATCTATTCTTCCACACCCGCAACGTAACTATTTTAGATGTAAGCTCGTGTATTGAAAGTTTATAGAAACAAATTCATACCTTTCAATGTAACCTTCCTTGGTTTCTGCAGAGATGGTAGTGTAGTGATCTGTTCTTCCACACCCGCTACGTATACCGGCGGTTCCCCCGGAATCTTGAAGTCGATACGTTTACGAATATAACTATTTTAAGATGTATGCTCGTGAATTGAAAGTTTATAGAAAAACTTCATACCTTTCAATGTAACCTTCCTTGGTTTCTGCAGAGACGGTAGATAGTCATCTGTCCTTCCACACCCGCTATGTAGACCGGCGGTTCGACCGGAATGATGAAGTCAATACGTTCCTTGCGTTTACGAATATAACTATTTTAAGATGTACGCTTGCGAATTAAAATATTATAGAACAACTTCATACCTTTCAATGTAACCTTCCTTGGTTTCTGTAGAGACGGTAGTATAGTGATCTGTTCTTCCACACCCGCTATGTAGACGGGTGGTTCCACCGGAATGTTGAAGTCGATACGTTCCTGGCGCGCTGCCTTCGAAGGCAGCACGATCTTACAGAACTCTTGGAATGGCATCATTATGTGACTGAAGTTATCGCTGGCGAGAAGACGGGGGAGAGTGCGAACAAGGGACGACACCGTTGTTGTCTAATAAAAAAAAATGCATACTAAGCACGCAATAGGGAAGAATACGCAAAGCTCGGAACAGATGGCGCTGAATTCGTTTGTCACTTTGAGTATGTAACAATTTCATCTGTCGCACTAGCCATCAACTGTAACCCGTGCGTTTACGGTATAAAACATGTGTTTAGCAAATATACAATCTCTTCATTTTTTGTTGACACATATACATCATCAAACTTGTTGGATAAACGAAATATGTGAAGTAAATAGATCCTATTTACTTTTATTTATATATTTACTATTTATTTACTTGTAAAGACACTAATTGTCTATGCAGTGTAAACGAAAAAATGTTTTGAAATATCACAACAGGTATTCTACAAATTTTGTGTAAATTAGTATACAACTTGTTTCTCGGTGTAAACGAAGAGTATGAATGAAAATATGAAGCAACTTACGGATCCTCCCCCCGTGATAGGTTTATTGCACAGCTCTATAAGTTTGACAGCGAGGTCTGTAAAGTCATTGACTAGTTTCAGCATATGCGGCTCTTTAAGTCTCGGGTCTATGAATACGTCGGCGCATCTCTTCATACGAGTCGGGTAACTAGACTTTATTACGCACATCATCATCCATAGAGTGTGTTGAGGGTATGCCAGAATCAGTTTCACTATTATCGCTTTCAGTTGGAGGTAGACCTGAAAGAAGCTTTTTTTGTATAATACCCCGTTTCAACTACTGTAACTGCCGCACAAAGTATTCGCCAAAATACTAGCTATTGTAGCAACATCAAGCAATTCAATAGCTTTATTTATTGTTATTTTAAACATTAAACTGTTAGATTTATAAATCTCCAGAAAAATTCGCACTAAATGCGTCCGCCCGGTTTGCGAAAACGCGGATTCGAGTCCTGGGGCCGGACCGATTGAATTTTTTTTCTACTAAAAATTTTCTGTATATATATAAACTTTATTTAAATTTTCCTACCTCTTTAACAGGATGACAAATTCTCGACACGATTTGAGAAAACGCAGTAAGGTAAAGGTAGAGTGGCAACCTCTCAGAATAGGTTTTTATAATCTCAGTCATTTGTGCTAAAACAGAGTGCGCACTTGTATCATGCGACGTCACTTCCATATCTAGCCTGAAAACATAGTACTTTAGAACATCCGTTTGTCGTTTATAAATATTGTTACTACCTGTTTGCTTCGAGTTAGCCGTCGATGACCGTTACAAAATGTGCCACTGGCTAATCAATCATTAGATTCCAAGATGCAGATCAGCAGATGCAGTTTCAAAGTATCTGCATCATGGAATTCATTATTGTCAAAAGTACAAGTACCTTTTTATTCACAGTCGGTTAAACTCTATAATACGGCCATGTTTCGTATTATAAAAAATATAAGATGGTGTAGGAAGATTCATCGGAAGCGGAGACCTAACGAAAACCTTTTATTAAATGCGCGTTTTAACCCGTTAAACTTTATAATTATAATGCATCGTAAAAGTTTTAAAGAGTACAACTACAGGTACATCAACTGATACCGTGTACTAAAAGGATCGAGTAATAAATAGGGTCTGTCTAGGAGTGCGGTGTTGTGAAGCAGGATGGGAGCGGCCAACTCGAAGAGAAAGCATAGTATTTAATATAATAATACCTAACTATTTTCATGTTATTTATATAAAAAAATGTTTGTTATTTTATTTTTTATTTGTTATTAGCTAAAAAAATACAATTTATATATTTCTAGTGATTACAATGCCTGATTTACATTGATACAGGTGATGCCATTTTTGCCGTCATTTTGACCACAAAAGTAAGTACTTAAATAACGCAATTGCTAGGGTTCTACATCCTAATCTAGATACTGTATCGATTAAATCTGCTATTAGATTCCTACCCCCTTATTAATAAACAAGAAATAAGATTAAATTAGTTACGCCATGTTTTGTTCATATAACTTAAATTCCATTTGTATATTCAATGAAAAGAGACAAAACATGGAGCAACTAATCCAAGCTTATTCTTCGTTTATTAATAATTGGGGTTATTGTATTCTATTGATCGACTGACTTTAAGTGGAATGCATAATCAACCAACTTATAATTTAAAAAGACACCTAGTTAACTAATCCACCTCCGTCAACAAAATACTATAAATAAAATAGATAAACAGAAGATATACTACTTTAAAATATAGATGAAATTAATTCAATACACAATATCTCACATATACACACAAATAAACATACACACACAAACACATACTTACTCACAAACGCATACACACACACATTAATCAATAAAGTTTTGTTATCATCATGTGTCTCGAATCGAACCACTGCCTTTCATAATACAGGTTTTACGTAGCATGTAAGTCAGGGGTCCTACTTATAAGATAACAAACCATTCCTAGTTTATTTTAAGATGTTATTGTTGTAGTACTTGTAAGGTTTGATAAATAAACATTATTATTATTATTAATACTTACCAAATGGAAAGCATCCTAGGCATACTCTGATATAGATATTTGTGGCCGTATTGCAGAGCTTTGCCGTAGCTATTGAGCGCATGAAGTCGTCGCGTCCACATAATATTTGTACTGCTCACAGTGTCTGGACTACCCACTTTCTCGTAATACGAACCAAGACATACCTAAAAGTTAGAAAAGAAGATTGATTCTTATGTCGTTCTCACAAATTTAGCTCAAACGACGACCTCCTTGGCCGAGCGGTTTGTACGCCGGGTTTCATGGTGTCGCCGACTCGAGAGGTCCCGGGTTCGAATCCCGGTGGGGGCAGATGTTTGTGTGATGAATTCAAGCATTTGTACTCCAGTCTTGGATGTTAAATATGTATTTCTATATAAATTCTTTTATGTATTCTATCCGTAACCCTAGCATCCCATAACACAAGCCTTACAGTGCTTACTTTGGGGCTAGGCTAATTGGTGTGAAAAAAATAAAATAAAAAACCAACGATATTAAAAATCCTAGGTACACTACGAGCGCTCAAAATATGTCCCAATCAAGAAGTGTTTGAACACCACTCAAGCTTGTTTTGGCTACGCGATCATCCCAATTTTCATCATCAGCATCACACAATTTACCATTTGGACAGGTTTCGGCCACGCTAATGTTCGTTATATTGTATCTAGGGTTTTTAAATAAAGTAGCTAATTTAACTACGATCCTTTGGCATTTAAGTTACTGGAGAATAGAATATCATGCTTATATGAATACTGTGTACGCGGAAACATACATAAGTAATATCATGGTATTTATCAGGTATGCTAAGAAAATGGAATTTCGAATCTGGATACGGATACTTGAAAATACAAACATACTGACGAATTGAGAACCTCCTCCTTTTTGAATTTCTGATCAGTACCCTTAGCAGGAACCAATATCAGATTTGAATAGTTGAATTAGATATTGATACGAGTCCAATGTCAAGAAGTTTTGTATGGAGAATTTTTAATTTTCGTTACGTCTGTTTTGCCGCTGTTTTAATTTCCATAAAAAAACTTCTTGATTGATTTGACGCGTATCGAGATCGAATTCAACTATACCAATCCGATATTAGTTCATGCTAACGATACTGAAAATTCATTCGAAACTATAGGATTACAAAGAATAGTTTCGAATGGATTTACAGATGCAGATATGAGTATAAGTGTTGTTATGTAATTCTAATCAATTTAAATATGCTATATTATGTGATTTTCTATCTGAAATAATTATATTTTTTTAATTCTGTTTTGTTTAAGCACATCAGAAATCATTCAGATAAGATGAATAATGCTATTTATCGATGTAAGAAAAGGGTTATATTGTAATTTGTATCTTTTTTTATTTATTAACTAGCGGTCCGCCCTCGCTTCGCTTCGGTGTAGAGCTGAAGTGTACGCTATAGTTTTTTTTCTCAGGCTTGTATTAAACACAATGACATTCATCTATGATTCTTCTTATACCTGCATGCAAAGTCTCAGCCCGATTGGTTTAAAATTGACAGTTTCATACAAACTTTCATTCCCTATTTTATCCCCTTGGGGGTAGAATTGATCAAAATCCTTTCTTAGAGGATGCCTACGTCATAACATCTACCTGCATGCCAAATTTCAGCCCGATCCGTCCAGTGGTTTGGGCTGTGCGTTGATAGATCACTATGTCAGTCAGTCCCCTTTGATTTTTATATACATATATAGATAAAAACGGTCATTTTTATTACCTGTATTTATAATCAAACTAAAATTCTCATATTTACGTTAAATAATCGGAATGCTCCGAACTGCTAAGCTATCAGGAGTTACACGTGTTATTGTGAGTCAACCATAAAAGATAGACATATGCTGTTGCGGGATATTTTTTAGACAATTTTATGTAGAATATTTCCGTTATACATAATTTCTATGTAACTTTAACCATTAAGGCTGCACACGCGACGGAAGCTGAAAAAATGGAGTAACTTCTCCCGTTTTCCCAACATTTCCCTTCACTACTCTGCTCCTATTGATTGTAGCGTGATGAAAAGTATACTATAACCTGCCCAGGAGTATGAAGAATAATTGTACCAAGTTTCGTTAAAATCCGTCGAGTAGTTTTTGTTTCTATAAGGAACATACACACAGACAGACAGACAGACAGACAAAATTTTTACTGATTTCATTTTTGGCATCAGTATCGATCACTAATCACCCCCTGATAGTTATTTTGAAAATATATTTCATGTACAGAATTGACCTCTCTACAGATTTATTATAAGTATAGATAGTTACCAAACTCTTCTCCCATTGCTTGAATACATCGACGGACTCCTTGTAGTAGCCAATATTCACATCTACATCCACATTTGTAGTCTCATCATTGTACTTGGCTATCAACAGTTTAGCTTTGGCGCAAATTTTCCTGGATGAGAAGACCTTTGATAAATGTCAATGGACAAGACAGTGAATAATGTTAGCGTGTTCGGTCTTAAATCGTGGAAATGAAGCATCTTTCGCATAAGCGGTCATCGGATGAGTGACCAGTGCTTTAGAAGGCACGATAAGCTGTTGGTTTCGCTTGCATTTCCAGTCTACCCACCAATCCACATTGGGCCAACTTGGAAGGTCATGGTCAAAATTCCCTATCTGCAGTCATTAGCACCCACTAATCCACAGAGGGCCCTCGTGGGAGCTTATGGTCATAGGCGACGATTTGACGACCTCCGTGGCAGAGTGGTTTGTACGCCGCTTTCATGGTGTCGCCGGGTAGAGAGGTTCGAATCATTAAATTATTTATTTATTTGTTCACTAACATAATAAACATTGACAGAACAATCTAGCAGGTACTGATAAAATGCTTAATCTTTATGTTATTACAATTATAGGTGAACACCACATCCACATTAAGATCTCTTATATTTTTTATAGATATTTCCAAGAAATGACTCCACCCCACCAGATGTTAAGTGAATGTGAAGATGATGGCCGCTTACCATCAGGCGGGCCATATACTTGTTTGCCATCTTTTTAAAATAAAAAAAACATAATGCAATAAACTATATCTATAGCCTTATATTACAATACACACCTTTGTTCATTAGTAAGTTGTTCAATATTCGGATAGACCTCGTCGAGCCCTCGTCGCAGCGTCGTAAAAGCCGGCTCGTGCTGTCCCCGAGCCCAGTACATTTTGGCCTTCTCTATGAACAACTCTTCCGGATGATATTCCTCAGCGTTTAAAATGTACATGTAAGACTGCGACGAAAAGAAAACAGAAGAATTGTTGCCAACTTTATAAATTTTATCGCGATAAAACCCACTGTTACGCACTAATTTACCTATAACTATGCCACAGTATACATACAGTAGCGTAACTCAGCCGTTTTCTTTAAAATAGATACCTACGACTGAGTGGAGTGCTAGGGTACAAAATGTAAAACATATTTGTGTAGATTTTTATTGTATGTGTATAGTTACTATTGCCACGTTACGGAATCGAAACCGACGCAGACTGCGCAGGCGGCGCGGCGCAGCTAACTTAACTCGTCCAACGCCCAGTCTCGGCGGCGCGCGACGTAACACTGCGTAGATTTGTCTTGGCAAGATTGGTTAGCAGCAGTGTAAATGACGTTTGTCTGTGTGCGTGCGTCGATTCGGGTGCTAGTATGAAGTCGGAGTACTGGTCTTGTATGTATTGTGACTATGCGATGTCTAGTGATGTGCCGGATCGTCAAAAATGTAGATCCGCGGATACGGATCTGAATACAGATATTTGGTGTCAAGATCCGCACATACGGATACGGATCTTAACTTTCTTACACATTCGGTGTCGGTGCGCGCGATCTTGAGTTGAGACATGTTTCGACTTGCATTGCGCGGCGGGTTTTTTTTTGTTTTGTTTTAGTTTAATGTGACACTGGGCAGCATAGATAACGCTTCCAACAAGTATTCCAAGTGAGGGGGCGTCCATAAATTACGTGAGGTGTTTTTTTGAATTTTCTGTCCCTCCCTCCCCCCCTGGTGAGATGTCGTGAGATTTTATTCAACCCCCTCCCCCATCCCCCAAACTCACGTGAGATTTTTCAAAATGTGGGTTTCTTACTTAAATGCGTTGTATTGTTATTGTTAAAAGAAAAAAAATGCTTCGTGCTTTTATTTACGACTAGTTAAGACTAGTAATCAATATTGCTGAGAGTTATTTCTTTCGAACGAAATAGTGATTGATCTTAATCGTATTAAGATTACGCTTAAGATTAAATTTTAAGCATGTACAATCTGGATTAAATGGACCAAAGTAGATTTTTTCTTTTTTTGTTTCAATCAGAAAAAAAATTGCGTGATATTTGACTCGACCCCCCCTCTCTCCAACGTAAGATTAGATGAGATTTGACTCGACCCCCTCCCCCCCTTAAACTTAATAAAAAGTGATCTTATAACTTTTTATAATATTGATCTCATTTAAAAGCTAGTTGATTTAGTACCTTGTAGTTATATACTATTGGTATGATAATGAAAATTAACTACGGCAAAGTTTGCAACATAAAGGAGCCAAACATTTGATTTTAAGAAATAAAAGAATATCTGTATTGAATTTAATAGTTTTTTATTGCTACCTGTACGAGACGACCGCCTTACGACCGAAACGAGAATAAATAAAGTCAACGGAAGAAACATCGAAACAAGATTGATTTATAAAATGTATCTATAATTTCACATGTATCGGTTGTATACGCATTAAAAATATCATTCCCTTGTTGTCTTATTAGAATGAGTCGGATATCGCAATAATAGATAGCTTTGCCCATTGTAAAATTGATAGTTCAGAGCGATATTCCGTCCCGTTCTCTCCAACAATCTTATAAGAATTTGTCTAAACGATCGCCACGACGCCAAGCGTTGGCGCGGGGAAACTAGTTAGAATGTTGATAGTTCCGACCTATAGGAGAAACAGAGACGATAGGCTGTCCTTTTCTCACATCTTATAAGATTTTGCCTGAGTTGATAGTTTTCGATAATAGTATGTTTTATGTTTTGATTGATTTATTTTATGTCTTATTAGAAAATAGGTAGTTATAAAAGTAATATATCAAAGTTTTGTGTAAATCGTATTAGTAGTTTAGGCGTAATTAAGGAAAATATTGGAAATAGTTTTTTACGAATAGTCGATAGGATATAGGTATAATTGTAATGATAATGTTATTTTATGTGTTTTTACTTCCTTTATAAAATGATATATGATAGTTAGGCATTAAGTGAATGTAAGTAGGTTTTTTAAGACTTTTTAATTTGTAATCTTTATAGGGCCGTGGAGCTGTTATTTCTTAATATTCTTATTAGAAACTTGTTGTATTAGGTAGATATCGCATAGGACTACATAAATAAATAGGCATCACATCAATAAATATAGAAATATACCGTGTAGGAGACAAAATCTGTTTGTATAGAACGGTTTTCTAAGACATGTTGCGCTCCCCACCCGGCACGCCCGGAGCGCGCGGGTGGGGCAGCGGAGCCCCGTGGCAGGGCGAAGCCCTATGGAGGGGGAAAGTATAAATATTGCGGAGACCTATTTTTTGCGCGCCACACCTAAAATATCATGCTTACGGACACATGACTGTGTTAAAATTATGCCTATATGTATGCCCGATGTATGTACAATTAGTTTTAAGCTCGCACTAATGTAATTTTTGAGAAAATGAAAAATAAAGTATAGCGTGGGTGAGGTAATGGATCGCTGGCCAGCTCAGTCTTAGCATATAAAATTCGAGTCGGAACATGCTCCGACATGCATTCAGCGACAGGCGCTCCTACCCTAAGGAACAGGAAGAAACACCAAGCGGTTCACTCCGGACCTGAAGCCTCCTCTCACCGGCCATCCATTATCAGCGCCCACCGATTTCTTCAATACCGAACACCAGGGGTTTTATTCGCCGAAACTACAGTCCACTACAGTCAAGACTCCTGCGTGTAACTTCCTCCACCCCTCAGTACGAGTCGGTAACTGTCCGCTACTGCGACAGCCCGGCGTCCCGTACACCTAATCACCTATTTAAGGCAAAGAGTAAGGCGCACTAGCGACGCCAATTGCTTTAAATTGTTAGCTACTAAACCAGATCTATTTCAAATAATTGTGGACCGTCAGAATCTCGGCAATTGGCGTCGCTAGTGCGCCTTACCCTTCGCCTTAAAGAATTTAATCTATAAATTTAAAATTAATAAGGTAAATAGATCCGTAAAAGATCCCCCAAAAAGTAACGGATACGGACACGGATACGGATCTTTCTTCTGCCTCGGATATCCGCGGATACGAATACGGATACGGATATCCGGCACATCACTAGTGATGTCACATAATTATCGCGATAAAAATGCTCGATGGGGCGATAGTTTCGACTATACTTTTCGCGACAGCGTAAATCTTCACGTCATCATCGCGAAGATTTGAAGAGAATAGAAGAGAGAAGTGTGGCCCCAACATAAGCACTAGTAAGGGTGATGATTACGTCACCTCCACTGTCCTAAAGTAAAAGTAAAAAAAGCCACTCATTTTCTGCAAATAGGCTTGCTCTTTTACACGTCCCAGTATTATTTTATCCCTACCACTGCTACGGGGCAATTTGAGGATTTTCCATCTCGATATATTTATATTAAGAAACCATTTTAAGGCGGATTTAACAATTTTATTTTAGATTATAATATGCAACATAACCTTTTATTTTGATTTTTTTTATTCGATTTTATTCTGATTTTAAAGAAAAACTATAAGGAAAAACTTGGTGAAGTAGGAATCATGAATAAAATAAAATCTAGTTTTGCTTCTTATTTTTTGACTATTATTCACAGAATTGTGCCATATTGTAGATTGTATTTATTTGTAAATCACATGTATATTGTGTAAATATGCAGCGTGAATGTGTATCAGGTGCTCTTGAATAATTTGGCAGTATGATCCTCTCAGGATGTTATGGCACAGGTTCTCTAGCTGGTAATAAGGTCTCTGCTCTTGGCATATTAGATAGCCGAAATAGTTAAATTAAAGGAAAAACAATCGCAAATAAACACACACACACAACAGGTAATTCGAAAAGAGAATGCTCGAATGTCACAGATTACTACGAATGCAAACTGCCTGCACCACAACCACAGAGTATCGAGTTTTATGCCGGCCCTTCACTTAAAACAGTTTGCCCTTGTCATGCTTAATAAGGAATAAAAAGGACAGACTGATGTCAAGTTTTCAAAAAGCAAACATGAATAGCCAAGTGAAGTGCCGGCATTAGGAAGAAAGAGTGTTTCGTTTGCAGCACTGTCATAGATTATACACATAAAATGGTAGGCTCAGATTATTTTTTAACTTTTTAATATAGCTTACTTAACTGGAAGTGTCCGTCACAAACTAAATACTGATAATTATCGCAAAAAATATACTAAGATTTATTATAAATGCCAAATTGGTGTTGGTTCTTAGGCCAAATTTAACTTACTTGTTGAAATATTCCAGCTTTTCGAGCGTGCTTCGCACTTTCCAACCACAGATCGCCGATGCAAGCTTTCAGCCTAGCCGCCGTATTTGGATGTGTTGTCTGTAGCATTTCCTAAAAGAGCAAATCAATTACGTACAAATCATCGAACCCAAATTGTAGAAGAGAAACAAATATATATATGCACTTAAAACTAAGTATGTATGTAGTGTCCACAGTTGATACAATACAATATTGGCAATACTTTAATGCAAACACAGAACACACCCACGCAGTGGAGCTGCTTTGTGAATCATCATCACCAACCTATTAATGTCCCCACTGCTAGGACACAGGCCTTCCCTATGGATAGAATGGGGAGATTAGGCCTGACCCACCATGTGAGCCCAGTACGGATTGTTGGATAGTAACGACTCAGATGCAGTCGGAACCAACGGTTTAACGTGCCTTCGGAACCACGGAGGAGTCCGAGATAGTAAATTTTTGATCACCCACCGAGTGACGTCGGTCACTACGAAACAGTGGCGTAGCATAGGTCACTAGCACCCGGTGCGGATTCCAAATTTGCCGCCCTCTTATTTTTGCAATCCATTATAAAAAAATGAGGCATGGTAAAAAGAGTACTTTTAATGAATAACACTAACCTAAGAGTGAAGTATAAAGAATGCGTAAGGAGACATATTTATTTAAAATAACATTGAAACTTGAAACGAAATAAGTTTCCTAAATAATAGTTATTGAGAAACCTTGCGCTTGCATCACCCATGCATAGAACCTGCATAGGTACCTGGGTATTTGGTAACAACAACAAAAAAATTACAAAAAAAAATTTTTATATTTTTTTTTTTTCTCTATCTGCCACCTCCGCAGCGCCGCCCCCGGCAAAGTGCCGCCCGGTGCGGACCGCACCCCCCCCCCCCCATGCTACGCCACTGCTACGAAAGTTGCTTATCTTCATCGAAGGCAGCCTAACGCGCTAACCACTTGCGCCATCAAGCTTCGTGAATACAAATACAAAAGCAATAAAACTTATATTTTGGCTTTGCTTATTGGCAGAATTTTATACGGAAAATGGACCATAGCCCTCAATAGGCTTGTGTCAACTAACAATAAATCGAATGGGTTACAGTTTCTAAATATGAATTATGATATACAGATAACAAAAAATAAAGCTATTTATCATAATAATTAAAGATTATTATTATTTTTAGAAAATAAATTCGAATAAAATAGGCATTAGATCACGTGACGGCAAACACCAATCAGAAAGACTGACGTCACCACGTGCAAAACATTACTTGTGGTTGCCGTTTCCATACATTTCATTGATATCTCATTCATGTTATTGTTACTTTGATACAAATTATCAGTTTGTTTTCAGATAAGTATTGAAAGGAAGCCTAATAAATCCATGGAATTGGGATTTACCGAAGCAAATAATAATATTTTAACCAAAATAAGAAATTAATCGCATAACTACTCGACATAATTAAGCATATCATTTGGCAACTAGAACAAGAATAAGAAGTGTTTATTATTATGAATAAATATATTGAACTCTCAAATAGACTCTAAATCATACCATAAAATTAAATCAACTTACCTAACCTCAACCTATTGTCATTGTTTTATCAATATAATGCAATATAATTTATCCGGCTTGTATAACATTTTGATTTCATTGATTATGTTATGCAAAATACTTACATCAAAATGTTAATCACAAAATTATTCTTGTATTATATTATATAATGAATAGGTACCATCCCTCCTTGCAAGTTCTAAGTTCTAACCATTTTTTCCGCATTTGTGGCATATAAATAATTTGTCTGGCGTTTTATGCTTTTCCGTTTATACTAGGACACTATACAGTACTTGTAATACGAGGGATTCATTTTTAACTAAATAATTTTAATAGTCGGCGTACAGCGTATTGTTTGCTTTGCACGGCGTGACGTCATTCTAGACGCCATGACAATCTAGAGCGTTTTCGAGGGAAATTTGAACAAGTTTTTTAAAATACAAAATACATATTGCTAATGTACTTTTTTATTTAAAATAATATTTTTTTGGGGTTAAATAAATATCAAGGTATATTATTAACCACTTTTTAAAATATAGGCAACTAGCCTATTGGGATCCAATAATTAAATTTTAGTAAGTTCACAAACCATTGATCCTTCGCGACCTTCGACACACTAAGAAGTAAATTATGAAAAAAAATCATGTTTATTTTATATGTAGTTCTTGGGTATGTAGGTGATTTAATTTTACAGAAACGCCTGAAGCTACAGATAAAAAAAATAACATACGTGTGCATTTAGATTCACTAGTAGACCCGCTAGGTGACGCTACAGTCGGGTTTTAGAATTTCTTCTACTTATTTATTTGGGGCTGTCAAGCCCAAAAGTAGTAGTAGTATACAATTATTTAATACCTGTGTTTGATGCAGCAAGATTCGTCGAAGTCTCAGCAACGGCTCGATAGTCCTTACATCGGATTGCACCACAGAGAGTCGTTGCCGCCATACGTCTAACAGTTGATTTATTATATCAGTGCTATGTCTATCTCCGTCACTACCTGTCTTTAACCTGAAATATAATGATTCAAAAAATAATGACGTAGTCTCTAAGAAGAATGAATGGCCATTTCCTGGACACACGCTTTCATGTAACAAAAAATTCCTAAAATACATAGTTTCGCTGCTAAGGCTGCCAAAATATGCCGGGCATTTGAATTCGTAAGATAAAATGTTAGTTTATTACACTGCGAAAATGTGTTAGTACATCCGTGAAAGATCACGTTCAACAAAACAATAAATCGTTGTTTTTTTGTGCGTATATAAAGGAACTTATATAATCAAGAATGAAGTGTCATTTAGAATTTTCCATTCATATCATTTCTATAAAGGAAAACTAGTTAAAAATACAGTTATAATAATATTTATCACAAATACCTGTTAACAGCCTCATTGGAATGTTTGACTTCAGTGATTATATGTAGACCTAGAACACTCTGGTATCCGCTTCGTAAAGCGCTCTCGCCTTTACTCTCGCCGTCCATTTGTGTCAGTAGCCTGCTATTCGCGTCTTTGCACGATATCTCAAACTGTTCGTAATCTTGGGAACGATATGCAAGCAGTATCCTTCCCATTAGAAGACCCCAGTTTTCTCGACATAAAGGCTGAAATAGAATAACATTTTAAGAAGAACATTTGGCTTGGCACGCTAGTTGAAATCTCGTTTGAAACTTGAGTCGGGCATCGAATCAAGCTAAGGTTGCCAAGTAGCCAGGCTTACTGCGATTGTCCCGGAATGCGAGCATATGAAATGATCCGGTTTTTTTTACAGTGTTATTCAGTGACGTATTTGGGCTGCAAGGGGCGGCAGAAGCCATTAAAGGCATTCGTTACTTACCTACATATGTTATGGTTTGATGTTTTAATCCTGGCGGTGCAAATGTCCTGGAATTGATAATCCTGCATCTGGCAGCCCCAAGTCAGGCAGAACGAAATTAAAATTTTCCAATTTAAACTCAATGCTATTACAAAAGATACATTACATTACCAATAACACTCTTATCTACGTAATAAAAGTGATGTCGATATAACAGTGTATTGTTCTCTAATGCACCCTCATTTCTATAACACGGGGTGAAGACGGTACGACAAATTCATTTAGGATATTGTTAATATTCTTTAGATTTTTTTGACATAAATACACATACAACATAAGTAGTTACACTCTTATCTATATTCTATAAGCAATATTGTATTCATCTCTCTCTCTTACCACTGGTTTCTTGACCAATTCTTCTAATTGATCGAACCTTCCGAGTCGCCATAGCGGTTCGGCCGCTAACTCCATCATACTGTCTTCGGATTCGTGTTCGCTCAGTAGTCGGTAAGCTGTAAACGGTTGGTCTAATCCTAAGTAGCAGTCTATCATGCCCTAAAACAACACACAAGACAAATATTAATGTAATTGATTCAATCTTCAATAGGGTTACCAACCCTACTATATAATATAGTATCCTACTATACTACTATTAGGGCATCAAATACTATATTTCTGAAAAATATATATAGTAAGCGAAACTACTATATTTTGCTTAAAGCATATTTTGACAATAAAAGCCTTCTAAAAATTATTATTATATTATTAGTAAAACAGAGAGCAGCAAAAATATATTTATTTCAAAAATATATCAAATATTTTAACAACATACTATATTTTTTCCATTTTTTTACCAGCTACTATTAAGAAGTAACACTTCGAAAATACTATATTTGATAGAAAACAAGTTGGTAACCCTAGTCTTCAATCATATGGTTTGATAACTTGTTGTTTTGCATACGATAATTTTGAGATGCAATAGGCTTTATGAAAAATAAAGTACCTACCAATTATTGGCATGTGTATTTACCATGAATATTGGATTGAGTAAAACGCAATACTTGCTAGAAGCGTTTCCGTGGTATATATAAGAACACAATTTTATTTTCGTGTTTTACTGATATAAGTACGCAACATAAGTATCCACTTTTTATAGAGACACTATATACTAATAAATAACGTATAGACATTTCAAAAACTTAACAAATAACCTATTACCAAACCAGAGCCGCAAACTTCTTGAGCAAAACCAGAGACAAATAAACTTGCGCAGTAGACCTATTTTGTATGTAAACTTACTACTGCGCAGGCTTCCTTGTTTATGGGATGCACACTTATATCAATATAAAAATAAACATTAGGATCTAAATGTGAAACAGCATACGAGAATTGGCTCTATGCGGATTGGCGAGTTTTAATGACTGTAGATGCAGCTGGGACTTAGTGGTCCGTCTGGTTACAGAGGATTTCGAAATAGAAACTTTTTGATCACCCATCCCATGATCAGTCATTACAAAAGTAACTTAATTTCCACGAACACGAACCGAACGCGCAAAACCTCATTCCATGCATACACATAGATATATGTACAATGTATAAATCTAAAGAAAAATTTAATAAAAGAAGTTCCACGCGAGGTAGCAGGCAGCAGGCGGGACTTAAACCCGCACCTTCCGCTATCCGGGCGGAAGCACTGACCAATAGTGCTACCGCGACCTTAATGGCCGTGTCGAATTTTTCCTAGGATTTCTTAGGCTGCAAGGCTGCGACATCTCTTCGCATTGTAAGTAACCCACAATAACAAACGAAATACCTTTACAAGTATTACCAATTTGAAAGATGAAATAGGAATTGTAGTTTATTATATTTTAATTTAAATGGTAGATGTAAAAAAACATATTGTATGTATTTATAGAAAAATATGTTTACCCTCAAACTATGCTTATCCAGCTGGCCTTCCTGAGCGAGTCTTTCGTAGCACAACGCAGCATCCTGTAAGCGCCCCGTTACCACTTGAGCGAGTATCAACTCTTTCAAAGAAGGCTCAGACCGTTTTATTGATAGGATTCCTAAAACAATAACACTATCAACGTCCAATCTAATCTAGGACCATAGTAATTCATATAATGTTATATAAAGAAATCTTTCATTGGCACAGAAAGATTAACCCTACCTACCGTTAACTGCCTTTTTAGCAATAATTCGTTCCTATGCTTGATTCGCACTGCATGTATACATAATAACACAGGTCTGTGAAATTGGAATTGAAAGACGGAGTAAAAAATGTCATCAATCCGAATTGATCCCGCAAAAATATTGCTTCCACCACTTCACATCAAACTTGGTTAATCAAAGAGTTCGTAAAAGCATTACCGCAAGATGGAAATACTTCCAAGTATCTTTGTTCATGTTTCCCTAGCTTATCTGATGCAAGTTGAAAGAGGGAATATTCACGGGACCTGACATCAGTAAACTGATTAGGGATACAGAATTTGAAAAAGTGATGACAATATTGGAACGAAATGCCTGGCATAGCTTTAAAAATGTCGTATCTAAGTTTCTAGGCAACACAAAAGATTCTGAATATAAAAATATTGTTCAGGAAATGTTAAACGCCTATAACAATTAAGGCAGTAATATGAGTCCGAAAATTCTATTTTTGAAGTCTCATATTGATTGTTTCCCAATAAATTTAGGCGACTACAGTGAACAGCAAGGTGAACCGTTCACCATGCTTTTCACCAGGACATAAAAGAGATGGAAAGAAGATATATCAAGGCCGTTGGGAGGTTAATATGATGGCGGACTATTCCTGGATGATTCACAGAGAATCATAAACGAAAACCAACAAAACGCACCTATTTCTCAAAAAAACAACGTTATTATTAATTGTTTTCTTTATGTATAAAACTTGACAAAATATTCTCAGATGATTCACATTCATTTTATTAAATTTTAGTTTTGTTCTTTTTTGGTATTCAAATACTATATCATCTAAATCTTATAAATGTGATGTGATATATCATATAAATACCGTTTTGTATTATTTTATGACAATTAAAACAAATATTAAACATTTAACAAAAAAACTTTAAAAAATGAAAATTTCGCAGACCTGTGTTATCTGACTAACTGTTTTGCAACAAAGCTATTTTGTTAAGTTAGCGCTAGTCACGGTGCATATGTATTTATAGAATGAACTTTTTCTATATCTTTGGTTAAGTGTTCTGAAAACCGGCGCATTGTTGCGCTCGTTACTAACTTCACAATTAAGTTTAAATTGCACCATAACTACACAATCCTGGGAACACATTAGGTTGGGATGATGCGATGGTGTTGACGCTCAAAAGAGTTATTATCGTTAAAAAATTATATCCTTCAGGGGCCGTATTCATTATCATCAGCCTATTAATGTCTTTAAAGGTGCCTGTAAATGTGGAATAAGGAAATTGAGCAATGACCGATCACGCGGGCCTAGTGCGGATCAGTGGGTCCTAAAGACGAAAGAATGTGCCTCCTGTAGAAAGGAGGAATTTGAGATACCAAATTTTTGGTCACCCATCCAATGACCGAGCACTAAGTTCCTTGACTTCAACGATCGCAGCCGAACAAGCTAACCACTTGCGCTATCGAGCTCCTCAAGGGCCGTATTATGAACTTTTTATTAGCGCGGTTAAAACGGGATGTCACTACTGATAGTATGCGATGTTACGATCCAACAATAGAACTTTGCCTGGCGTTAGGCTACCTGTCCACTGGAACGGAGCGAGGCTGCGGAGCGGATAAAAGGCGAAATATTAACCACTAGGATTGAGCGAAATCTCCGCTTGTCTTCAGTAGATATATTTTGTGCAATTCTATCCGTTAATATTTCTTCGTTGTTCAAGAGGGTCGATTATTTCCCGTTTAGAGACTCTTACAGAATTATATTCAATGAGATCCTAAAGTCTGACAAATATAGGAAAAGTTGCTTGTGCCTTTGTGTCGAGATCTATATTAAAATACCACCCGACATGAAAATGCTAAATATGAACATGTTTAAAAATAAACTATATAAATGGCTAAATGAAAACAATTTCTATGATCTAAAAAGTTTTTCAGGTATCTTTTTTTAATTTTTTTATCTGACATTTAGAAATCTTGTAATATTAATATGTTGACATTGTATTTTTATTGACATAATATTAGGTAACTCTGACTTTCATAATTCTATAGAAAAATGTTATAAGTAATTAATGACGACCTCCGTGGCCGAGTGGTTTGTACGCCGGGTTTCAAGGTGTCGCCTACTCGAGAGGTCCCGGGTTCGAATCTCGGTGGGGTCAGATGTTTGTGTGATGAATACGAGCATTTGTACTCTAGTCATGGATGTTCAATTTGTATTTCTATATAAATATACTTATATATGTACAATATATGTATTCTATCCGTTAACCTAGAATCCCATAACCCAAGCCTTACAGTGCTTACTTTGGGGCTAGGCTAATTGGTGTGAGTGTAAAAAAAAAAAAAAAATCTTTTTTTTCTCAAATTTGTTCCATATGTATTTGCATGCTATTTTAAAAATGGCATAACACGTGCTCAATCCACTTTATGTAATACCTGTATACCGTGTTTTTAGCAAATAAAGATTATGATTATGAATCGTTTTTACGCTCCGCACCAGTGGACAGGCAGCGTTCATAATCGGCCTCAAAACAAAATACTGTAAGATTTCTTAGTACTTACCCGCTACTGCATCCGGTTCGTCCAACAAGGCGTAGATTTCAGCCAGCAGAGGCAACTGTTCTTGCATCCTACCACTTTCCTCTACCATATACAATTCCAGATATTGTAACGCGCGCTCTAGTTCGCCACAAAGGAAGTTACCTCGAGCAATCGTTAATTTATCGAATTTCTCCAGGAATGATGCAATCGCTCTGAAAAATCACGTATTTTTTTACAGCTTACGCAACACTAAGAAATTACAATCGAAATTATGCTTTATTTATATTTTATAGAAACTAGTACATTGTTTTATTTTTATTATGAATACCTACATAACCTAAGATCTTAAAGGTCGTGACGTAAACTCCATAATCGCGATGGAGTTGCAAGTTGCTGCTCAATAGTTATATTTAGGCCTACTTGTAGCAAATTTGCTAAATTTCGATTTCACAAACACTATCAAACCCATAACATAATGACACGAAACGAAACGACAATGTTAATTTGAAATTATTGTATTGGATTAATCTAGTTTTAGTTGAACTGAGATTTTGCTAAATTTCTGCAATTAGACCTTAGAATGCTAAATTTTGCTTTATAATGAAGCGGATTTAAATTTAGATTTTAGATATCGGTGTCGATTCAAGCTAACTAGTTTCACTTTGTAAAGAAAAAGAGTCATCAGTAGTTACAATATGTTATTGACAAGGTCTGTATTTCATAGAAATAAAACTATACGAAGGAGATTAGGATTTTGTTAAAGTGGAAGTTGGTGCTTACTTGTAATTCTCGTTTTCCAGCGGTCTTTGCTTCGAATGACACCATTCTAATATCCATCGATTTAGGAAATCCAATAAAGTATAAACTGTTTTACTGCATTTACTCTAAAACCAATACAACTGTTGAATTATGTTAGATAAAACAATGGTATTTCACAGAAAACTCATAACATCCAAACTTTTATTATATACACACCTGGCCTAGAGCAATTCAAGTAAACCACGCAAAGGAAACGGCTCATATTACGCGCAATGTGTGCGTGTCTTTAACGTTAGATTGCTTGAAAGCAGTCAATGTGTGCGTGTGTAGCGACGAGTTTATCTACCACATGTAGTAAATATTTTTTGTCGCTTCAATGCAATTAATACGATATCTGGGCGTGTATATAATCAAAGCATCCAACACACTTTGACAAATTTGATAGTAAATTTTAATTAATTACCTGATTGCCTTCTTCGATTTGTACAGAATTCACATTTGGCGTCATTCTAATGTGACGTAATATTTTGTACTTAGATCTTTCAGTGGATACATTGCTGTTCTCGAAGTTTTCTAAGCCTGTTTTTAATTAAAATCTTCATTATACATAGTATATAACATAATAAAGTTGCTCCCACTGTCCGTACGCTTAGTTGTTAAAATAAGGCAGCGGACTTTAATGCACTTTTCAGCAATATATAAAGTGAATCTAGACGAAGGTTTATCTGTAATACAATCCTAAAAACATAAAATATAGTCCACCCCAAAGCGAAGCCATTTAATAGAAGCGGGTATGAGTACTTAATAAAAAAATACTATACTAAAAAAAGTTTCAACATTTTCCCTTGAATGGACTTAGATTCATGTCTTAATTTTTTACATACGTGGTCTAAAATAATAACATGGTTTATGCCAAGAATAGTATAGGACTTCGGACAAACAAAACTAAGTGAAAATAACAAGATACGTGTTCAGTATGAAAAAAACTATGTACTTTGTTCTTATGTCCGGCAGGGGCGCTGCTAATAGTTTCCATAGAAACTTTAACATGGCAATACGAATACGGATCTGTCAAAGTTCATGCTTGGGATACAATAGGATATTTTTTTGAAAACTGCTTATATTTAGAGACTGAAAATTAAAAATAAATTAATTAATGTCTTTTTTTCTTCATTAAACCAATTAAAGTTGAATTTATTTTTAATGGTTTTGAATTTACCGCCAAAATGCTCGGTTCGATGACGTCTACTGTGTGACGTCAACTTTGTGTAGGCTATTTAATCATGTGAAGGTAAAATTATTAACTTTTTTTACGTTCGGGATAAATTTATAGTATAGTACTGACACATTTTTTTTAAATAGAAAAGAAATGTCAAATAATTACCGTAATCACAGATCGTCCACAGACTACATAGGACTAGACTATAAATTATTTACTACTTCATTCGTTAAAACTAGTTTTATTTAATGAGTGATGTGCGTGAAAACCTAAGAAACAAAGAAGACATTAATTAATTAATTTTTATTTTTCTGTTAAATCGTTTGTCCCAATCTTTAAATATAAGCAGTTTTCAAAAATTTGGAAAATACCCTATTGTTGTCATTAATTCTGCAATATCTTTTGTGTACAAGTTACAAACCTACAACAGCCAACATTTCCTCTTCTATATAATTTGCGTTGTTCTTAGACATGACGGCATGCAACAACACATAGGGCAGGAAGAGGAACAGCGTTCTGACGTCACGACGCATGCTCGGGTGAACCGTGCGCAAAAGTTCGCGAATACTCTCAGACTCGATTAAAGGAATCAACTGACCGGCCCAACTGAAATAAAAATATAAATATTTCTTACACACACACCAATTCAGCCTTCTTTTTTTAAAATACGTTTATTGTTGAGAAAATACGTAATGCATACCCCGCCCCAGTGTGAGAGACCAGGTTATGTATAACTCCGCCTCCTCCCAAATCCCAGACATCAATTTTATTAGCCTAGCCCCAATGTCAGCACTGGAAGGCTTGAGTATTGATGCCAGGAAAATGGAAATAGAAATAAATAATAACATATAAAATATTATTTTTGTAGAAATGCATCAAAGAAGCGTCGTATCAAGAAACAAAAATAAAATCAGTAGTTCAAATCGCATTTGAAAAAAATCGCAGCGACGAGGACGACGTAACATTGTTTTGGCTGTAGTGGATTTAATAATCTGTTTTTTTCTCGATTGAATTGTGATCCGAGGCTCAACTATTTTGTACTCACAGAGTTCATAGAAGTACCCGCCTATAACCTCTGCCACTTCCGTGAAGGCATCTGATTTGTTTTATTTTTATTTGAAATTGCATCCCAAATTACGGTTTCTCACGTATCAACAAAGATGATTGATTCCAGTGTTGTCTCTGGCTGTTGTATATGACAGTCACATCAAAACGCGTCTTCCTACGCCTTAATCAAACATAAAATGAACGATTCCCCCCGCCCGCAGACGAACGCGGGGGATGTTTTCTACAAACTCCGGCAAACACGTTCAAGTATATTTGCTCGAGAAAACATTTAGGCCACACCCCTTATTTATGTTTTGGAATAATGTTCTGGTGAAAAGATGGCGCAGCGAACAAGCCTTGAGACAAAAGGTAAATAAACAAACCATAAAATAAATTTTTAAATAGGTAGAATTTATACGTATATAAAATCATAATTAAAAATAAGCGATCTTACAAAAAAACCCCAAAACTATAGCTGTTCCCTAACTTTGACAGCAATATAATACTACTAAATTGAAGAGTAGTGATTGAGCGAATCATTAACGATGAAATGTGAAATTTTGTAATCAGTCTGATAAAAGTGGCCATCTTTACTATCGATAAAAAAGTTTTAGAAACATTGGTTTATTTTTTGAAGTTATACTTCTTTAGGCGCGTTATGAAAAAATGATGAGAGTGAAATTTTAAGATGCGCGCGCATCACTGTTACACAAAATTTTAACAGCATGAAGTTGGTCGCTTTAGCGACCAACTTCATGCGTTACTTTTGTGTTTACCGCACATTAAGAAAATCTACCAACAAAATAGACATAGAATCTCTATTTAGTGGGTGCTAACGACTGCATTGTGAAGGCCTATCAAAAGTATTTATTAATCTGGAACAACGGAACCAAAGCGCAATTCAGGAGACTACAGCGCCATCTCTTGACCATTGGTGTAGTACAGTGGTTCTCAAACTTTTTAAATGACGGAACCCTTTTGGGAAGCAAAATACTTGATGGAACCCTACAATAAAACAATTATTTTTATAAGTGTATTCTATATTAATCAGCATAATAAAAGTACAATGTATCCGTTACTAATTATTATTTACTTCACCACTTGGTAAGGACAATAATAGAAAACATTAAAAAAGAAAAAATCTAACTAGTGGGAGGTATGAAACTGTTTTTTATTTTTCATCAATTGCTTGATATCAGGTTTGATGGAAGAAAGTTGGAGTCTCATATCAGCTTCGGCGTCCAGTCTATTGCGATATTTTGTTTTCGTGGCTGCGTAGGTAGAGAATCCTGTTTCGCACAAATATGTAGTTGGGAACGGGAGAAGAATATCCAGAGCCATTGGCCAAGCATTGCATATTCATCTTGGATTCTGCACCAAAAATCATTAAGAGGCGTCGTTTTGAACAATGACTCCATACTTGTGTCTGATGACATTTCTAAAAGAGATTCATATATCTCATTTGACATGTTTTCAGGCTTTTCCAAGTTGGGTAAAAAAGGATTATGAATCCAGGAGTTCACTTTAATTTTTGTATTGTGTTCTTCGGGAAAATACTTTTCAAAAGATGCGCGCATCGAACTGAGATATTGGACCAATTCTTCAAACACATTATCTTCAAACATTTCTGAGTCGTTTTCGCTAACAAACTCAGTGAGTAACGTAAAACTTTCTATTTCTTTCTTACCAATGCAAATGATCCAAAAATCTAATTTTCTTTTAAAAGTAGTTATTTTATTATAGGCCTGAAACACTGTTGTCTGTTTACCTTGCAATGATAAATTTAATTCGTTAAGTTTTTGAAAGATATCCGCCATAAAAGACAATCGGAACAACCAAGTTTTATCATACAAACGGTCCTTCAAATTAAAAGAAGTATCTGCTGAAAGAAACATTTGTAACTCGGCTCTAAGTTCAAATAGCCTTGTTAAAGTTTTTCCCCGAGACAGCCATCGCACTTCTGTATGGAGCAGCAGTGTTTTATGTTTGCTGCCATAATCTTCACACAATAATGAGAACAATCGGGATTGTAGTGGTCGTGATTTGATAAAATTAATTATTTTTACCGCTTCATCCATAACTAATTTTAGATTAGACGGCATTTGCTTCATCGCAAGTGCTTGTCTATGCAGAATACAATGACTGGAACTACAATTAGGCGCTTTATTTTTCATTCGTGACACTGCTCCTGCTGTTTTACCTGTCATCGCCTTGGCCCCATCTGTACAAATGTCAATGCAATTGTTCCAACTGAGATTATGTTCTTCAAAAAATATATTTATTTTATTAAAAATTTCTTCCCCGGTAGTGTTTGTAAGCAGCGATGAACACATAAGCATGTCTTCTTCAAAAGAACTTTTATATGGATATCTCACAATAACCAGCAGGATAGCCAAACCAGCGACATCAGTCGACTCGTCCATTTGCAAAGCGAATCGTGTATTTTGTAGACGTGTAACTAGTTCTTGTTTGACGTAGCTTGCCAGATCATGGATTCGTCGTGAAACAGTATCGTTTGATAGCGGAACAGTAGAAAGATGCTTTGCAGATTTTTCATCAAGCATACATTTTGTTATGTCTAATACACATGGTTTTATTAATTTCTCAGCGATAGTGTGCGCTTCACCTGCTTGTGCAATGCGATAGCTAACTAAGTATGATGCCTCCGTGGCCTTTTCGTTGGTAGTTTGTGTTACATGCATCATATTTTTTTGACTTTCTAATAACTGATCTTTTTTGCGAACAAAAAATTCTTTATTCTTGTCTTTAGTCTCGGGGTGTACGGTTTCTAAATGTCGACGCAATTTGGCAGGTGCCATGGAACTATTAGGAAGCAGTTTACTACAGAGCATGCAGAGAGGTGAGCCGTTGGAATCAACAAATCCGAAACTGATATAAGATTCATCATACTTCCTTTTTTTCGTCTTTGAAACCGTCGAGCTTGACGTCGTGGCACTCGTGGCATCATCTTCTGGATCGGTGATTGCTAAATTCTCCGCGCGCATTGCTTTTGAACATTCAGCGTCATTAGAAGATGTTGTTGGAACACGTTTAACACCTTTAAGCCAACGTTCCATTCTTCTTTATTTATAATGTTACAAGTCAGGATAGTGGGGTTTAAATAATGCACAATCGTTACTGCGTATAAGAGACTAAATTTAGAACCTACAGGGAAGAAATGTATAAAACTGAGACAACAGAATACAGCAGGCAGTAAAACAATGAACACCAGTTTCTCGCTAGCGAGCTTGTAAGTAGGTAGTAACTTATCGCTCCGAACGCTAATCATCAACTGACGACGCCAACGCGCGATCGCCGCTTTTATACTTAGTCCTAGACTCGATCTCAAATATTCTCGAAAATACTCGAGTCGGCACCTTTGATAAACAAAAAGCAAAAATAAAAACAGAAATTTAAAAATAGCGTTGTAAACAATATCGACTTTATCCTTTGAAGTTAGAGACGAAAGTCGCTAGTTGACAACTATAGCGTCTAATTCAGAGGCGGCTTTTATCAAAGAGACTGAGCGCTTACAAGTATACTACCCGCTCGTTTTAAGTTTGCCGCTGGCGATAGGTATGAGTGTATGACGTTCGAAATTTTTTATTTAATTGTAACAATAAAAATTGTGTACGTTAGATATTTGGGTAAAACTATGACACATTATAAGTTTTGTTGTCACGTGGGGGAGGGTACGCGCATTCCACAGACCGGCAAACTTAGAGCGAACGCGTTGTACAAGTATAAAATTGTTGAGACCAAACTTATGAGATATTGTACCAGCTAATGTAACACAAGCTTATACAAATACAAATAAATAAATAAATAACATTCATAGCGTTTTGTCTCCGCGCGGCCGCGGAGTCCGCACAGCCGCGGAGCGACCAGAGAGAGGTGTTTTGATTTTTTTATTTCTAAATTCTTGCGGAACCCCGACAGAGGTATCACGGAACCCTAGGGTTCCGCGGAACACACTTAGAGTATAGCTGGTGTAGTAGAACCAAAAACCACATCTTTATTTTTTGTAATAAAATAACAGTTATAGGTATTCATATTTATAATATTTATCCACATGTTTCTAGTTTGTATATTCGGAATACGTGTTTGAGTTTCATACAAGTGCAAATCACATATGTTCTAATAAATTATATTCAGTAGCGATTTTAATTGAATATTTTGATTATTTATTTATTTTTTCAAAATAAAACTGAACTTTATTGACTGTGTCCTTTTCCAGACTTTTTATTAATTTATTGTAATCAATTATTTGCATGCAATTAAAAACTAATTTTAAACGATGCCAAAGAAGGATAACTTCTCACGCGCCTACATAAGTACACGCACCCATTTTTTTTGTCTCAGAGGAAGTTGAATAGAGTAATATAGAGTAGTGAGCCTCGAGTTGAGGTGGTGCCAATCTGTTTTTTCAAGCCCATAAATCCTTAACTGATTCCATAACTTAGTTTACTTACTTATGAGCCCATTCCAAAAATGTAGTTGCATATTGTGACCCAAACAGGGGATGTACTTTTTTCGGTTGCGAAGGATAAGCTAGAGTATACCTGAAAATATCAGGAAACTGAATCAAAGTATGTTTTGTTTACAAACTAAATAAAATGAGTATTAAACAAATTTATACCAAAAAGTGAGTGATCAGAATTGAGCCTAAGCATAGTATATAATGTGTTTAATAAATAAGTTATTTTAAAAATTACACAAAGCTGGAAACATTTTACTGACATTTCTTATATAATAGGGATGACGTCTATTTCTTTTTTCTTCGTCTATCAAGTAGATTATCAAAAGTATTGAACAAGTATTAGTTTAAATTTTTTTAATTTTTTCATATAATCAAAACCATTACAGATATATTGATTTAAAAAGTCACGTGACGTTACGTTTCATACAATTTTCACTAAAAAGTGACACCACAAGCTCCCACTACCAAACGATGACGCTTTCGAGACGAGATCTTTGTTATTTTTAGTTGATTAACAAAAGAAAAAATACGTATTCTTTATTTTGAGATAATTTAACTGACAGACTAAGTAGATTTTTGTTAACTTTACTCCGTGGTCATCCCTATTAATACGTTAGTGTGATAACACTTACCTGGAACTCAACAAAGGAAACATTATCTGATGCATGTGCTCTGGAAAACTGTCCCAAACATCCTTTTTGCTGCCACTTGGAGAAATCTCGTATATTTTCAAAATCTCTTGGATAGTCAGAGCGTAACAGTCCATATTCTAGAAAATAAGACGTATAAAAACAGTGAAATATTGCGATTGAAGGTGATTCATTTTAAAGGATCAAAACTTGCATAACTTAATTTCATACAGCATGAATGAAAACTACAAGTTCATAAGGAAAGGGGAAATGCGAAACAACAACAAGAGGCGGAAAAACACCCCAGTCCTCAGGGGAAGAGGGGAGTGCTATAGACAAGAGTAAGAACGAGGCAAATTTGGTCTAAACCTAGAAAAGCTCCAAATATCGTAAGTTATTTTTTTTGTATTATCATACTGCCTATCGCATATACAGGGTGGAAAAAAACTGTGGTTGGATAAAAGTAGTTTTCAAAAATAATTTAAAAAGTCAAAAAGTCCGACTGCTTAAAAATTACTTCGAATAAATTCTAAAAAGAAAAAAAATGTCCAGTAGTCTATAATTCTGTTAAGTAAGGAACAAAGCAACGTTAACAGTCTGGACCCATTATTGAAAAAAAAAACCGTTCTACAATATCTAATGAGTCCCGTCTATTATAGTATCTTTCTTGCTTACTTAACAGGATATAAATCATCAAATCGGTTCACGCGTTTTGTTTCTAGTGTGTTCGCTACGTTGCTGCCGGACACTGCCATGTCGGTGTGAATCGGCTCTAACACCCATATTCTTAGTCGCGTCCTCAAACGTTCCTCGACTCTAACTCATTCGAGGGCTCCTTCAGGAGTTCCTCCAAATAACCTCGAAAATGATATTCTAGTACCTAATTTGAACAAACTTGAGAATTCCTCCACTGAGAGTACAAACAAAGGTATAAAGCATAAAAGCATAGACATATTAAATGTGTAAAGTAAAATATCACACAACAAACATAGGTAAATACCTACTTGAAATAATCCTACTTGAAGTTTTACGTGACAAAACTTCAAAGCCACCAGTAATTGTAAAGAAATTCCGCAATCGAGTTTACTTACCATTGTATCTTTCTCATACTGGAACGCTCTAGCCAGTTCAACCAAAGCTGTCGCCGCGAAGCAGTTGTCCACTATAGAGAAGGCGTAAGGCGATCTGTCCGGCTGCACGTACCGACGGGGCAGGTGGCCGGCCTCGATAGCACCTAGTTGGCCGAGGCACGTACCGCTCGCCGCACTCACTTGAAGATCTGGGTCTTTACAGCCTGCAATATTACCTACTTTAAAGCCATAGCACCTAGGGTAAGGTGCGAGCTAACTTCGCCTGTGACATTATTATATGATAATGACGACCTCCGAGGTCGATTGGTTTGTACGCCGGGTTTTAATGGTGTCGCTGACTCGAGAGGTCCCGGGTTCGAATCCCGGTGGGGACATATGTTTGTGTGATGAATACGAGCATTTGTACTCCAGTCATGGATGTTTAATATGTATTTCTATATAAATATACTTATTTAAGTAGAATACATGTATTCTATCTGTTACCCTAGTATCATATAACACAAGCCGTATAGTGCTTACTTTGGGGCTCGGCTAATTGGTGTGAGTGTTGGAAATATTTATTTATTTATTTATCATGAATAAAACACTTTTTAAACAATTATAAACGCGATTACTTAATTTCTTTCATTATTCTTGATGTCTCGGAACCTGTAAAGGGTCGCAAGACTGTTTCCTATTTCATGTTGTTTTTTTTTATTTTCGCGATATCTTGAAACCAATGTTAGTCTCCAGGGTACCCATATTAACTTTTAATCAAAATTATTAAAATCAGTTCAGGCGTAAAAACGTAACAGACAAATGCACAAAAAAAGACAAAGTAAAATTTTGCATTTATAATATAAGTATGGACTATGACGTTTAATTTCATACTGTAACGCCAGACAGATGGGAGTGATAATCACACTACTGCTTTATTATAACGCCACTAAGATACTTGTTCTGGAAAGCATCGATGGATATGCAAATGGCTCTTTAGTTACACACTGTAAATGCCAAAAAATTTAGCGAATAGGCCGGCTGGTCGGCCAGCCATAGCGTGACTACTACCACGCAATAAGTACAGCTAATTAATCCACATCTTTCAAGTACCTAGGTACCTATCATTAATTTGGTGAATTATATCATCATGTCGCAGTTGTACAGCAACAGGAAACAGAAGATATAAGATAAACAATATTTGGTAAAGAGAGGTCAGTCGCTTTTTGACTATAATCGCATTCACCTAGACCATGACAATTTCAAGAAGTTCTCAGATATAAAAAACTTAAATTACAGTAACTTACCAAGCAAAAGTGAATCAATAAGCTCCACCATAATAGGGTCGATATTCCTTCCGCTAAATATTGCTTTATGTATTTCCGTCCTATCACTCTTCAATAGTTTATCCATGTGGTTGAAAGCGCATGCTTTAATTGTAGGTATATCCTGATTCAAGTACTGCAGATACCATTTCACTTTATCAAGGAATCCATCAGGCTGTGTCCTTTTTATGTGCCTCTTTATCACTGCTTTTACTTTCTCAGATATATTGCTATTCTCCAAGAAAAACAAATCAGGTATGTGCGAACTCAGCAAATTTTCAAAGTTTAGGACAAGATACTGAAATATTTTGTTAATTTCTTGTGGAGCGAATTCTAACTGTTGCAATAAAGAAACTGCAAGGTTCGATAAAAGCGGACCTAGGGACATGCTGTCTATATTGTGTATAAATGCACCCCAAGCCTCTGCAAGGATTTTCGGAAACTCCTTGACTAAATGAAGAGCAGATCTCAAAGTAGCCAGCACTTTAAACCGCAATGGTGTCAGGTATTTAGAGCCCATCAAAATCATTATATCGGGAAAACTCTTCAGCGCTTTTCGCTTTACAGACAAAGCTACTTTTGCATTTACCAGCTTGTGATCAAAATAGGCAAGTACCCCCAAAAATTTCGGATTCAGGAAATCCGCTACTTGAGACGTCGTCATCGACATACTGCCAGGGCTACCACTGGATGCTGATATGTCAGGATCATGGCATGCTAAATATTTACAAGCATTCAATACTTTTTCAGGATTACAACAGTATTGCAATAAAAATTCTGTCAAAATAACCCTAAAGTGTTTTTTAATCAAACTTAGAATGGAGGTCCTGGTAATTTTTTCTAATATATCGTAGCATTTCTTGGCTACTTCATTTGTTTCGTTCAAATAAATATGAACATAAATATGGGGAAATCTTTCAATCAAAAATTCCGATTTTGAACACTGTACTAATGACGCGATCTCTTCAATCATTGCTGGTACTTCTCTAATAGTGACAACATATGGAATTAGATATGGTAAAAAATGATGAACATCTTTTGAAATAAAATCTCTGTAACCCACAAATCCAAATGCTCTTACAACTTTCAGAAGAGCAATAGCAAAGTCTTTACCATTGTAAAGACTGCATTCTACGAACAGCCGACAATAATCTTTCTTGTATCGGTGGTATACTTGATTAGGGGTATAACCTTGAGCTTCAGAAATATCTCTCAAATATACAACAGCTTTAGACCCCAATGAACACTGTGGGTGCATAATGAAATATATCAATAACTTAGTAGCAGGTAAAATGAGATTGTCATTAGGATTACAGCCAAATTTTTTTATAAGGTGCAATGTTTGTGACTGCTGTGTAAAATTGTTGATCTCCAAGCTTTGTTGGGTTGCCTGCACCAGTAAGTTTATACACAACTGTAGTGCTGTATCTTTATGGGAACTCCATTCTGTATCGACTGTAGCCTGAAATAATGTCTTAAAGGAAATCTTTGTCAACAAAATTACATAAAATGCAAAATAAAACTTTTAAATGATATTTGTATTCTTACCAAGGAATCAGACAAATATGGTTGAAGAGCATAGTGAATTTCTTGGCAATTTTCTACAGTTATTATATCTATAGGTACCCCATATTCGAAAACATAGAAATGCTTGCAAAGTCTTGATATTAAATACCAATATTCAGTTTTTAAAGCATCTGTGTACTGTTTCCAATTGGCAAATTTGGAAAATAATTTTTTCAGTCCTTTGACAGTAGAAGAGCTTCCAGATTCAACAAGATTATTATGTGACTGTAATACAAAATGTATACAATCTTTCTTCTCAATTTCAAAGTGGCAATTCGAACAAATTACAGAAATATTAAAACCTTCATTAGTGAAAATCAAGTGCCCTTTGTTTTCAGAGGCAGTAAGTAGACCTATCATATATTTTCCTAGGCTCATACATACAATAGCTGGTAAAATTATTATAATAGCTCTTTGAATGTCAATATCTTTTGTGAGCCAAGCTGGCATAAATATTTCTGCAATGAGACTGCTTGCAGACAAATATTTCACACTCAAGAGCAATGGAGATAACATGATAATCTGAAAGAATTGATAAAAGTAAATTAACAAATACATTGTACATTATCAAAAACTAATGACCATAAAATCTCAATGAGGTACCTCTTTGTAAATATGTGATGTTTTTATTTTCATAAGATTCTCCATTAGAAAAGGAAGTGCCTCCCTGAATTCAGGAATTGAATTATAAGGGGTTTTAGTAAAGATGGTTGCTAGCAGCATGTATTTCAAAACTAGGATTTTGTAATCATCTGAATAACTAAAATCATATTTTGTAAAACCAAATTCACTTTTCATGCAGAGTATACTATATAAATTTCTTGCTCTATTTAAAACTTGTTCAGAGATTACACATACACCCAATATGATATTCATTACACTTTCAATGGAACCTTTATTTAATAAGATTTTGTCTCTATGATTCTCTATTGTTATAGCTAGTGCTTTCTCTATTAACTTCACCATTTCCAAGGGTAGTATATTTTTTGAAGAACTTATATTTTTTGAAGAACTTTTATTTTTCTTCAGACTTTTGTGGCTTTCTATATAAACATTTTGTAGTATTTCTAAAACTTTGGAACACCTTTGTAAATGATAATTCACAACAAATGAATCAATATTAGTATCTTCACAATTTTTTAATGAGTTCATAACAGAAAAAACTTGAACATAATACCAATTATCTTTGAAATTTATATTTTTTTCTTTATTATCACGCATGAACATCAATATATTGTGTACATAACAATGTTTCACCATTTTAATTTCTTTTCCATCCATGTTTTGTATGTCAATCAAATGTAGAGGTAATTCAATTTCCTTACTATATGATAAACATCTCAATATCAGTTCTTTGCTAAACATTTTATGTTCATTCATGCTAAGAATAATAACAAAAATGTTCTGCAAGATATCCTTATATTGTTTATAAAAAACTTCTGGTAACTTTAACAAATCTTCAAATACCTTTTGTATTTTATCCACATGTAAAAAACTTAATTCACCCTTTTCAAAAAGAATATTGGCAGAATTCATTTGTGACTCAAAGTTTTTAAGAACACCTTCTAAGGTATCAGGGAAAACATTGTGGAATAAATCCACAGCACATTCATTATAATTTGTAATCAAATCAACAAAAAATCTCAAACACATCAGCTTTAAGTCGATACTGTAGTGTTCCAACATATATAGTATGCAAGAAAACAACTCACTAAACTCAATTTGATACTTATCAATGTTAGCAGAATTCAAAGGAATACTCTGAGACAAGAGCTGTAATGTGAGATCTATTAACGTTTTGCAAGTTTCTATATCTTTCACTTTTACGTAGATTGGTTCTAAATTAAGTTGTGTATTGTGTATACTTATTTTGTCAACTATAAAGTTTTCTAATTCAAGTTCATTTGAATTATTTTTGTGGTTTTTATAATAATCAATTAATTTGACTAAGGCACTTGTGTATTGCATATGTATCTTCTTATAGAAAGTAGCCCCATTAATGCATAGTATACTAATAACCTTCAACTGAGCATCTTTGCTTAATATATGAATTCTGCAGAAGAAGAAAAATCATAAATACTTTCTATGTATGTAATTTTTAGGATACAAGTAATCAACTGTACTCTATGTACTTACTTTTCAAGTTCTTTAACAGACCATACGTAAAATAGTCTGCCAAGGAGCCACGTGTTAAAGCTACAGTAATATTCATCAGGATATCTATTGGATCCTGGTCGTGGAACCAGTACTTCAGAAAAATCACTGTAATATGATAACAATAAAAATTACTATTTACTAAATCATAATCTCCAAACTGTAACTTAGAAAAAAAATATTTATGATTGGATGGACGGATTCTAAACTTACCCAGAAAGTTTTACAATAGAGGTTAACAGTCTCTCAAGTCCATCACCTGCATGCTCCAAATTACTGAATAAAACCATGGTAGGAGCATTGAACATTTGCCATACGGTAAAAGGACCTTCACTATTTTCATCCTCCATTATATTTAAGAAATTAATTTAAAAATCTTTAAAACAAGTCCAGTAGCTGTAACTAGTTTCGCTTTCCACAACTTGGCCTTGGTAGGTCCTCAGATTAATGATCATTAATCTGAGGATAAGTCCAAACTCAGATCAAATAAAAAGGTTTAATTCTTCTTATTATTATTATTTTTATATAATGGCGTTGTAATTTCTTGTATTTGCAAAATAACAAATTAATCACAAGTCGTGTCCAGTCATGAATTGTAAACAAATAACCGCGCCAAACAAAAATTAAAACTTCAGGCAAACGTCACCTTGGCAATTATTTTCTAATTTTATGACTTGAAAGCAGTGATGCCAGAACGTCCCAAAAGGGACGATTTTCGTCCCTTTCCTCATCAAAGCGTCCCATCGATGTCCTTTTACATATTCCGTCCCTTTTCCGTCCGTTTTCGATAACGCTTCACTGCAACATTAGACGAATGCGTTTCGTTTCACTCATTGATTTATTTCACTAAATTGCCATCACTATTCGTTGTACATTGTCAACTCTATTCGTCAAATCACCCAGTAAACTACATCGAATTCAACGCTCGCTACGAAGGTGACGTTTAATATATACCTACCTATATCTATACCAACTCAAAGCTCTAACCCAATAACCTACCATATCTTACCTAATAAAACTTTTGTTGTTGAGGTATGTTTCAGTTATGAAGATAATAGGTAACTTAAGAATAAGTGCTTGCTTTGTAGAGTCGTAAGTACGTACGGTACGTTCATACCACCATGATGTACCTATGTCCTCCGTACCATCTTCATTATGTTTATTGTGTGCCCAAAAAAATATAATTAATATGGCTCTGTTAAAATGTTTTTGAAGTGAAACTTCTTTAGGCACGCCTTGACTTGGGGGGTAAACTGGCGAATAGGGAAGATGCAATATTTTTATTTTTGTTTTCATTTTAAAGAATTCCATGTAGAATAAACCACAGATATATTAAAAAATTAAAACATTGTGATTTATCGGAAAAAATGCGGTTTTAAATTGACAATTTAAATTTTCGCGCGAAAACGAACCTATAGTTGCGATGACGTCACTGCTGTCTGTCACTAGTCGTACTTGTTCGTTGCTGGCTTTAAATTTTCATACTTTTGCATATTTTTTCGACTTTCGAAATATTTTTTTGAAAAATTTAAAATGGACTATCCATCAACATCATGTGACTCATGTTTTGTGCCAATCTACTTCAACAAAGTTCCCAAATAAATTGTTTTTGACTGGAACTTCTGACCCAAAACTGAAAAAAAAGTGGTTTCAAGCTGCCAAGAAAAATGACAATTATTCTCCAAAGACCATTATTTGATGCTGAGAAGATCACTTTGACGTAAGTCGGCGAATATACTTGTATATATGCTTAATTAATCTGCTTGTACGTAAAAACGCATTAGTAACCTACCTAATACTTACAAAACCTGTCTATAACATATTTTTAATTTTACAGTTGGAGAATGACGTCGAAAATTAGATAAAGTTTAAAATGTGTGGCACAATCTTCACATTGGCAGGACTGAACCAAGCTTTGCGTTTCATTTAAAATAACCTTAACACTTCTTTACGTACTTTATGCTCCGGGGAACTCGACCTTTTACTGTACATAATTCTCCATCTCTTTTAATTTGGACATAGCCGATTGCATTATCGCCGTAAGATTTGTAGAAGCCGCTGAATAAAATACGAAGTTTAACAACTACGATTTTTACATACCGTAGTAATTTAGTCCCTTTCATTTCTACACTTAAAAACTGCACTTTGGACAAAAAATGTTATAACCATGTCAACGCTAACTCTTGGTAAATTCCTGGAGTCTGCTTTGATAAACGCAACTTCTGTTTTTATTAAATGTTAAAAAAACGCAATAAATATTCCCATAAAATAATATTTACTTTAACAACCATAACCTCAAAGAAGTTGTCATAACAGGAGTGACGTCACTAAACGCTGATTGGTGTTTTAAAATACGTTCCGTTTCAAGTATTTTTAATTCGTAATAATTGTTAAAAAACAACATTATGTAAAATAAAAACGTTGCAGTGGCATTTCTTTTATATTTTTTTAACATTTTAATCATAAAATTTTCATATATATTATATATGCATCTTCCCTTTTCGTGTTACGATTAGTGTCATCGGTGACTCATCGGTAAACAATGAACAATACCTGTAACAAAATACATAAATCTAGTGCTTGGCTTGGTAGGTGATAACGGACCCAGCGTGGATTGATGGATGATAACGGACCCAGCGCAGATTGGTGGGTGATAACGGACCCAGTGTGGATTGGTGTATAATAGCGGACCCAGTGCGGATTGGTGGATGATAACGGAGCCAGTGCGGGTTGGTGGGTGATAATGGACCCAGCGCGGACGGGTTGGTGATAATGGATCAAGTGCGGATTGGAGGGTTATAACGGACACAGCGCGGATTGGTCGGTGGCAATGGACCCAGTGCGGATTGGTGGGTGATAATGGACCCAGCACGGATTGGTGGATGATAGCGGACCCAGTGTGGACTGGTGGGTGACACTGGACCCAGCGCGGATTGGTGGGTGATAACGGACCCAGTATGGATTGGTGTATAATAACAGACCCAGTGCGGATTGGTGGATGATAACGGATCCAGTGGGTGATAATGGACCCAGCGCGGATGAGTTGGTGATAATGGACCCAGTGCGGATTGGAGGGTGATAACGGTCACATCGCGGATTAGTCGGTGGCAATGGACCCAGTGCGGATTGGTGTGTGATAATGGACCCAGCGCGGATTGGTAGTTTTTTTCTATCAAATTTCAGATCATTGGAGCTATAGAAATTTCACTTCAGTCGTGTGTTCCTAAACACACTCGCTTTTTTTTTCATTTAACCGCATTATGATAGAACTACACTTACCTGTCGTGTTGTGTTGTAACACATCAGAGAGCTATCTCTTTCATACAATTATGGTTAAAGTGAGAACGCTGTCGAAACATCGCGACACACAGGTATAGTTCTTAGTGCTAACCGTACTAAATGTATGAAGCAGATTGCGCCACAATACAACACGTAAGATAAATATAGTTCAGCCTTAAGTTTAATATTTCTGTAAGGCCGTCCTTTTTGACTAAAAATCGTCCCTTTTCAGATTTCGAATCGTCCGAAACACGACGCAGGTACTGGCAACACTGCTTGAAAGCTATGGTATTTATTTTACACAGCAGTCATTTTTCATTTTTTTTTTATAATATGCAAACCCACTTTATAAACAGAGTTGAGAATTGAATTTAAAATTATTTTTTTGTTAATTGATCACGCGTGTTAAATATATATTAGATACATTTTATGTTATTAGATACAAAGAGGGCCATCCCAGGTACAGGGAGGTAGTCATAACAGAGGCCATTTATCTCGTTATTAATAGATTCATACCGCCCAGTTTATGGTAGAAACATATTAACGTGCCGTGGCACATCGGTTTCATACATTTACTATGGTTAGAGACGTATTTACGTGTCGTGTCGTTTTGTGTCGACGCTCCAACCTCTCTATCTCTCTCTCTAACCCATAATAGAAACGTTTTACCGGAAAATAAAACGGTTATTAAACATACTTACCTTATTTGAAGCCTAATATATAGAATGAGAGTAGCATACCTTGATTTCTGTTCTTAAATCGTGTACAATGCCGCCATGATTGAATTGATTGAAAAATATAGTAATTATCATTATTGTATTGTACGAGAATGTAAAAACACATCCTTGAAGACTCCAGGAAAGTTGTGGATTAAAGTGCCGAAAGAAATTAATCTACGCAATACCTGGTTAAAACTGCAACTTAATCGACTCATACTAAAATTTATTTTTGCGAAGATGACTTTGATGTAATTTATCATTGAATAATATTTTAAGTCTCTTCATTTATTATCAGTTTTAATAATACAAGTTTTAAAGTTATGTATCAATGACATTTAGTTGTTTACTAAAAGAGACGTCACAATCATGGCGGATGTGGCGAACAGCGTTTTTAGTGTTTAAAAAGTATGGACTGAATTATTATCCTCCCTGTTTACTTTTAACAATTTCCAACCAGATTGTTGGTGAGTGCCATTATCCGTTGAAGAACCAAAACTTGGCCAAAATGTCATTTCCGTATCAGTAACAATACAGATATCAGGGGATATCAGGGGGTAAAGGTTTGAAGTTCGAGGATCTTTCGTAGCGGTGTGTTGTATTACTATGTCAATATTCCATATGGGGACCTTAGCTATTTTTGGCTTGGCCACGTCAATCGCCTGTTTGGTTGATGAGGACTTGTTTAACCAGCGTATGGGAGTTGAGTTGGATGTGGTTGTCGGGATCATAAAAGGTGGATATTGCGCATTGATACAGTAATATGGTGCTATAGGCTTAACTTTCCTTCTGATGTACGTCGACCAAAAAAAGTGGGATCCCAATGGTTGGCACACATTAAGAGCCCTTTTACAAAATTGCGCCGCTGATGCCTTACTAAACGGCGCGTAGGTAGATTTGCACTAGTACATAATGCATTTTACGGGTTATGTTTCGAGTCTTATAATAAAATAATTATTAATGAACTAATTATAAAAATATGTACATATTTCAGTAGTTCAATGATGGTAGATTAGTTTCATGAAAGTTTTTGATAGTAATTCTATTTAATTCAATATCAAAATACGAGGTAAGGGTACGGCCAGAGTGCACTCAGATTCAGATTCAGATTCCGAAAACAAGCGCGAGAAATAAACAGTGTAGTCGAAGGGTACGGCCAGAGTGCACTCCTGATTCAGATTCAGACTCAGAAAACAAGCGCGAGAAAAAGCAGGCAACCTGCTTAGGGTGCGGCCAGAGTGCACTCAGATTCAGATTCAGATTCCGAAAACAAGCGCGAGAAATAAACAGTGTAGTCTAAGGGTACGGCCAGAGTGCACTCCTGATTCAGATTCAGACTCAGAAAACAAAGCCCGAGAAAAAGCAGGCAACCTGCTTAGACTACACTGTTTATTTCTCGCGCTTGTTTTCGGAATCTGAATCTGAATCTGAGTGCACTCTGGCCGGTAGACTACACTGTTTATTTCTCGCGGTTGTTTTCGGAATCTGAATCTGAAACTGAGTGCACTCTGGCCGTACCCTAAACCTGCATTATTTTTTGGCAAAACTCACGGAGGTTAGATGTTTTTTTTTATAATTAATGTGATGGAAAATCAAAATTCTAATACATTATGTTACAACAAAAACATATTTCTGATGTGGTAGTAATTAATTTGATCCAATTTAAAAATAATTGAGAGATTGAGGCGTTTGAAGTAATGCACATTATCGTTTTTTCCATAAACTAGCTGCAGTAGAACGATCAGTACAAAAAAAAAGGAAAATAGTATTTGTAAATATTCTACATTAACTTACAATAGGAAGAATAAAGCTACTGTTTACACTTATTGGAAATAGTCAAAATCTTTTCTAAGGGGGTAAACGAGCCGTTCAAACATTAAGTTTTATTGCAAAAAATGTAAAAGGGCTCTTAACATTGTTTTGCTGAGCCCAAAACATCCACCTTTTAGATACAGGTTTATAGGTGTTTAAGGTGGATTTGCGCCAACTTGATGAAAGTAATAGTTTCTGATTTTCAGACCAATCACTTGAAATAGAATGCCACCCCCACATAGCAAACTTATCGCAAAACTTAGTTTTGTTTTTGAACTGGTCCAACAACGGGGGAAAATCGACAAAGGGGAACGCTGTGAATACCGACACCCTCCTGGCCTCCGTCCATATATAGCCGCGTATCCACTAGAGGCAGCCTCGGTTCGAGCGGCTGCCTCACTCCGAGGCTGCGCAAGTGGAGACGCTGCCTCAACCTGAGGCACGCCGCGACGCGAGGCAAATTCGTCGCCGCGAGCCGAGCCATATTTTGTCGGTTTCTGTGACGTGCTCAAAGGCGCCTCAGTCCGAGCCGTGTGTTTAATGGAGACGTTTTGGCTTTTAACTGTGCAGTGCGCCGCCGGCGGATCAAGCTGAGGCGACACGCCTCGAGCTGATCCGTAGCCGTTGCCTCAGAGCGAGCAGCCTCAAACTGAGGCTATTTGCTTCAAGTCGAGGCCGCTCGACGCGAGGCTGCCTCTAGTGGATACACGGCTTAATATACTACTCTTTGCCTCCGTCGGCCGCGTTGCTCTATGCTAGTCACAGTCGAAGTAAGAGTTGCCATTTTTTGGCTTAGTAAACAAGCACGTGTTTTTACAATATTTTTTATTTTAGCAGATAAACTTAGGTTAAAAGAGTTTAAAAAACTTTAGACTGTTATTAAGAAAAGTAATATTATGTAAAAATATTAAGAACATTATAAGCTATAAAACATTTATGGGACTTAGCGAGTTTATAGATAAAAGCCTTTCAAAGTAAATTTATCAAAGATGACGATCCTTAAAATATTAAAGAAAATACTAAACTAAAAGGCCGCTAAGTGTTAGTAAGAGGGGTTTTAATACAGTAAGTACGGCCGAAAAATAGACACATGGCTTAGCTAAACAAGAAAAAGTTGTATTTTATATATTTTAATGTGGATTTTTGTGCATAATAGATAATAAATGTTGCAGGGAAATATGTGTTTATAATGTGTCTAACAATCACTGTTCTATGTTTTATAGGTTTCTAGAAACAATGATTTTCACCGAAATGACTTTTTAGGTTTAAAATGGTAATAGTTAAAGGACGGCAGCACATGCGTCACGCACGACACGTTAATATGTTTCTGGCTTTATTTCTCATCTAAGGGTGCGGCCAGAGTGCACTCAGATTCAGATTCTGAAAACAAGCGCGAGAAATAAACAGTGTAGTCTAAGCAGGTTGCCTGCTTTTTCTCGCGCTTTGTTTTCTGAGTCTGAATCTGAATCAGGAGTGCAATCTGGCCGTACCCTTCGACTACACTGTTTATTTCTCGCGCTTGTTTTCAGAATCTGAATCTGACTCTGAATCTGAGTGCACTCTGGCCGCACCCTAAGGGCAGAAACGTGGCAGAAACATATAAACGTGTCGTGCGTGACGCGCCAGAAGCACAGTGGTTTGGTTTCATACATTTATTATGGTTAATTACGAGTCGTGGCAACACGACAGCTGATGTATTTCTATGGCCGCTATAACAACAAATACTAAAAACAGACTATTCGCAAATGGAATTCGGTGATTTTTGCTCTACATTATTATATAGTTTTTAATGTTGTATAGGTAATGGTACGAAACACTTCGTGGGCGCATCCGACATGCACTTGTCGGTTTTTTGCATTGCAGCATTTTCATTTCGTGTTCTAATGACGTGTCTAATAATATATACTGCCCTGATAAGCGGTATTTCAATCAGAGATTAAGAGATGTGTGGGTTTAGCCTGGGACAATGAAGAAGTGGGGACCCCTAAATCTGGGCCAGCCGGACCGATTTGCTCGCTCCGCTCGCGATGGAAAACCCCCTTGAGGCTTTTGTTAAGGGATGCTAGGTTAACGGATGAATCCTTAAACCTTTGATTATTTACTCGCACTGATACATGATAAGGGAATATTTTATCTAGAGATATATATATATATAAACATCCATGAATACGGTTCAAATGCTCGTATTCATCATACTAACATTTGCCCCCACCGGGATTCGAACCCGGGACCTCTGAGTAGGCGACGCCATGAAACTCGGCCACGGAGGTCAGCATCTTCAAGCTCTTCTTAACAATGCAGCACACTGCTATCTACCAATTTGTAGACCCGACATGATGCATTCGACCATCATGTCGGGTTTACACACAGAACACAGAGGTTAACAAATGCTTGATGTGGTGTGCACAGTGCATTACTTCTCCTTGTCATCAAAAAAACTGACCAAGTGCGTGCGCACCGAGGGTTCCGTACAAACTCAATTTAATAGCTCTACGCGTTCATGAGAAAAGAGGTAGTAACTTTCAAATTATATATTTTTTTTTATTGCATGTCACTGTTTAATGTTTAAATCTTAAGAAAATAGGTATAACTACAAAAAATCCACGAAGACCAGGCAGCAGACGGGACTCGAACCCGCACCCTTTGCAATCCGGGCGAATGCACTGATCAATTAATTATTATAATAATTGCTATCTCTTCTTTCAAATGTTTAATACTTGTATTCATTTGACATTGTGGGTTACCTCTTCGCATAAGAATGGCTAGAGGAATTTCGACGAGGCCATCAGGGCCGTGGTAGCATAATTGGTCTGTGCATTCGCCCGGATTGCGAAGGGTGCGGGTGCGAATCCCGTCTGCTGCCTGGTGCGCGTGGAATTTTTTCGTTATATTTTATTTAACTTTAAATTTTTCAAAAATATTTTTTATTATAATATGATGTAACTAAAAATTTACGGTTTTCGCATTTTTTTCTTTATCTGTACTATAAGACGTTCGTTGGTACCAAATTTCAAGATTCTAATTTTGATTCCCGTGCGAGTTTCGAAAATTTGCGGCATAAACGGCTGTATATTTTGATTGCTTTGGTTTAAGTTTATTTTTTTCACAGCTCCAAGGGACGGTAGACACGAGTTTTAGATATGAATTTCAGTTTAATACCTCCACGCGTTCCTGAGAAAAACGGTCTTGACAGACGGACGGACAAAGTGATCCTATAAGGGTTCCGTTTTTTCCTTTTGAGGTACGGAACCCTAAAAAGGTGTGTGACTCTTGCTAAAACTAGAGCTAATAAAATGCCAATTTATATTTTACAGTTTTATTTTTATTAATTATCATACAATGTACATTAACATAATAGAATGTAACAAAAACTTTAGATCAGCAACGATATAAAATAAAAACTAAAATATTTGAATTTCTATAATTTATATTATATTATCGCTATCATCAACTAGATTTACTACAGATGACGAATATTTTACATTATAGCATTTACATACATTACAAGGCCTTTTAATTCTAAGTTTCCCCACATAGACTTCGGTTTTAGAAACTTCAAAATATTTCCAGTGGTATTTTAATGCACTCATAAAGTACTCATGAAGTTAAAATAAATAGAACAACATTACCTTTACGTATATAAATAAAATTGTGACTTGTTCTTTTGATAAATTGCATATTTATATTTCTCAAAGCCTATGTGAATACCATTACCAAATGAGTTAAAGTCACTCAGATAATAAATATTATGTGATGTTAGTACCAAAAAGATTATAAGAATGATACTTTGAAAAGAAAAGATTTAGGTAATTATTTATGGCCTTAGACCATGACACAAACTTAAATAGTTCTGATGACTTCTGTTTATGTATATAAAAAAAACCTAATAATTTTATATGATCTGCTTATCTTAGTTAAAAGATGAATTGAGGCTATCCTAACTGATAAATATGTAGTTTTAAGTTTAATATTATAAAATTCTCATTTCCACCAAAGCTACAAGACAATGTTTTGGTTTAGAAACTTCAATACATTCTAAAAAGTGCACATTAGCATACTCTTCTAATAACTTAGTGTCAAGAAAGTTAGCCAGTCATATGAATAAATAGATCTCTCCGTTAAACTTCTATTTGTTTCAGTCGAAACTTATCAGTTCTGCTGTATTATTGTTATGCTCAGACTTTACGGGCGTTTGAGATTGTTGGGAGTTTGGTTGTGCGACACCCGGCCCCGGTTGCCCATTGAAATTAGGTTGAGCTTTAATATGCTGTCCTTGAGGTATTTGTTGACCTTGGGGCATTGTTTGACTTTGTTGCATTGTCTGACCTTGCTGCATTGGTTGACCTTGCTGCATAGGTTGACCTTGTGGCATCGCTTGTCCAGAAATCGGTTGGCCAGGCATCGGCTGACCTTGCTGCATTGGTTGAGTTTGCGACATCTGTTGTCCATGTGGTATTTGACCTTGATGCATTTGCGGAATGTTCATTTGCGGTTGCCCTTGACCTGGTACTTGTTGTGGTAGATTTTGCTGACCGTGCATCATCGTTGGACCTTGGTGAACAGGTAACTGAGTTTGAGGCAACTGATTGAGCTGAGCTTGGTTTTGCATCATTTGCTGTCCGTGCATCATCATTTGCTGCCCTGGCGGCTGCATAGGTTGTCCAGGTATCGAAAGCGGTTGCCCTTGATTAACAATACCTTGGGGTTGTGATTGTGGTAGAGGCACTTGAGATCCTTGACTGGGAGCCCCCGGATTTGACGTAGGAATGTGATTCGAAATGGGGATATTCGGGTTCTGGCCAGGTAGCGTCTGTCCTGGCATCATCTGTTGTGTGGGTAAAGACATCGGTTGGCCAGTTACGGGTATTTGGGAAGGTTGTTGCAAATTGGGGACCTGTGGACCCGTCTGTCTATTAGGTTGGTTTGGCATACTCGAATACGCTGAAATAGGCACTTGTTGATTGGCATTAGGTTGACCAGGCATCATAGACATTCTAATGTTCTGCATTTGCATTCCCATCATTGGGTTCGTGTTCATGAGCGGCTGCGCCATATTTTGTTGGCCGGTCGATATAGCGGGTATCATATTGTTGGGTTGTTGGGGTTGATTTGTTACATTCTTTGGCATTTGTGTTTGGTTGTTTTGTTGCAAGTTTTGTGGGGGTATCCCGTTGGGGATGTTCTGCATCATCATTTGGTGTCCGGATTGCATTGGCATACGCATTTGGTGCATCTGTTGCATCATCATTTGTTGTTGTAAAGGCGTTTGTTGGCCTAGAATGGGGCGGACTGTTGGTTGAGGCATGGATTGCTGTTGATTGATCGGGGATTGGGTTATAGCGTTACCGGATGTGGACATCGCGAAAGTGTTAGTCATTTGAGGCATAGCTTGAGATATCATGGGGTTTATGGACATGTTAGCTTGGGACATTAGCGGTTGGCCGGGCATGTTTTCGGTAGTGGATTGCGACATCATTTGAGGGTGGAATTGAGGGTTCGCGTACAAAGGTTGATTGGGAAAGCCGGTTTGGTATTGAGGCATTGTTACGCCGGGCATGTAGTAACCGCTGCTTGTTGACATCATGTATTGGTGCTTTTGCTGTTCTTGACGCATTTGCATTTCCCTTTCTTGCTCCTGAAACGGATGTATGGATATTGGTCAATATAAATAAAAAAAAAGCAATATAATTCCTTTACAAAATAGGAATCATCTATTTTGTTAAGCAAAAATAATGATAAATAATACCTTACTTATATTACAGTATTCAAAAGAATCGATTAATTAGCTCTAATCCAACAAGCCAAGCAAATACAATAATTAGGTTTATATTATAAATATTAAACATTTAACTGGTAGATCTTCCCGGATAGCAAAATCCTGGACAGAGTGGATTTTTTTCTAGTAATATTATCTTCAGTTTTGTAAATACAATAATTTTATAACTGATATACTGTTCTATGTTTTTTACTGTTATATTAATTTTCTCTGTAACAGAATCTTTCTGGGATGGAAATGTACTGTACACATCACAATAAAAAAATATTGCTGCATGGCCTGCAATTTGACCGTCATTTGCATCTGTCCTTTACTACATATATCATTAACTGAAGTATAGTTTTTTATTCTACCTGCACCCTCTGCAATGCCAGCTGCCTCTGGTACTGTAAATACTCGTGCTTCTTTTTCCTCATGGCCTGCAATTTGGCCGCCATTTGCATCTGTCTCTGTCTTTCGGCCGCCTCTGCTTGTGCGGCCAAACGGGCCGCGTGTTCCGCCCTTAAAGTATCTAAGGCAGCGCGACTGTCACGCACTTGGGTCACTTTGTCCTGGAAAAAATGGTACTTTGTCTTTAAATAATGAAAAAAAAACCAACACTCACACCAATTAGCTTAGCCCCAAAGTAAGCACTATAAGGCTTGTGTTTTGGGAGACTAGGGTAACGGATAGAATACATTATACTGTATTTAAATAAGTATATTTATATAGAAATACATATTAAACATCTATGGCTGGAGTACAAATGCTCGTATTCATCACACAAACATCTGCCCCCACCGGGATTCAAACCCGCGACCTCTCTAGTCGGCGACACCATGAAACACGGCGTACCCACTCGGCCACGGAGATCGTCAGTCGTAATTTATTTTATTGGTGTACTAACAAAATTATGGTGTACTAACGTACTGTTCTGATATTTTATTTAACTACTAGCGAAGGGAGAAAAAAATAGAGAAAATGAAAAAAAAATAGAAAATGGCTAGACGGGCCACGTGTTCTGCCCTCAAAGTATGGCGTAATGGTATGAGGCGGAAGACTAAAAAATTAGATTATAATTTTGGTAACGAAGTTATTATATTATTGTTTTAATTGGGCAAAATACTGCTACATACTTAGACATTGTGGACATAATAATTGTAAAATACTGTCATTCTGTTCTTAATAAAAAGTGTTACATTACGTAGGGTTTTTTGTAACATTTTGCACCTTATAGTGTAAAAACCAGACCCTGGCGCGGGGCTAAATGTTACACTCCACTTTTCCCAGAATTCATTCATGTATGTATCTGCTGATAGTCTGGTATCTAAAATTGTTTTTAAATTGAAAACTCGATAAGTTACTTAAACAAACCTACACGCCGGTAAAACAAACAAATAAACAAAAAAAATGCAACACTGTAAAAATAATGTCACGACCAGCCCCAGTTTCCCCCTACACTAATAAATAAAGTATAAAGAACCTTTTCAAAACTTGTTAAATATTAGTAAAGAACTTTACAATGATTTGTTCCATATTTCGTTTAAATAAATAAACAGTTCACAATATAAAATTAAGACATATTAACCTGCAAGCTTTCCAAGTACACCCGCTTATCGTCCTGCTGTTGAATATATCGGAGTAACCGAGAGTGCATCGCTGTGATGTTCATGAATAGCGTCTGCACCGAAGTATCGTTAGCGATCGATCGTCCTCTGAAACAAGGCGAATAACGAAGTTGGAAAATATTATTAACTAGTTGACCCCGCGAACGTCGTATGGGTTAAAATAAAATAATTTGGAAGAAATGACGGACCCGAGTCTACCGTACCGAAAGGGACGAACGACAAATGTTTGCCAGGAAAGAAGATAGAACAATTTATATGGAAAAATTAAATTGACGTTTTTACTATCTTCCCCGCAATTTTTCCATATTTTCTCACCTTTTAAACCTTCCTTAGACCTCCACGAACATTTCAAGACCAAGCTAAGAAAAATCCGTTCAGCCGTTCTTGAGTTTTAGCGAGACTAACGAACAGCAATTGATTTTTATATATATAGAAGATGTTATTAGAAACACGCTTTACTCGTACAATATTAAAAGTAAAATCTGGTGTCTGGAAGAGAACGCTCTTAGCGATAAAACCGCCCATTGTTACAGTAGAGCCATTTAACTCTGTATTTATTGTAATGTTTTCTGTGGTCTACAATTAAGTGTTTTATATTGTATTGTTAAATTCAAAAGTTTATTGTATAAGCTTGGTACAGAGCCTTTAAAGATATCATAATAATATGAAGCCATTTTGAATCTAAAGATTCTATATGAAATAAATCGGGAGAAAAAAATAGCCCTTGCTGAGTTTTCTGCCGTGTAATTTCACCTTTATACAGGGCCAAAGCAGTAGTAAGTAAGGAAAGCGTAACTTTTCGACTTTCATATACCAAATGACATCATTCTGTGTTTTTTCCTTGCAGTAAAGAAAGGCAATGGATAGCTGCTTACTATCAGCTAAATATTTTATGCTTTCTCTTTCAAAATCAAAAATCATTTATTCAGTCTAGGCTGTTACAAGCACTTGTGAAGGTCAAGAAGCTACGTCATCGGTTCGCAAAACTACAGCGGGAGACCTTGCATTGAGAAGAACCGGCAAGAAACTCAGCAAGGGCTGTTATTTTCTCCCTGCATTGTTATGTATATACAGAGTCGTCAAGTTGACAAATGGCTTCAGAGATACTGCTGAAGTCACTTTCCATTACATCTAAAAAACTTTAATGGTGACTCCCATGTTTGCCTGTGCTCAATGAAGAGCTTAAATTGTTAGATGTTTATTAAATAGCAACATCTATCTATCTATATAAATAAAAAATAATCGCCTGAATGTATATACGCACATAACTTCGGACCGACCGCACCAAATTGGATGATTCTTTCTTTTGTCTGTTCGTTATTGTTAGGACAAGGTTTGTATAAAAATATCAAAGAGAATAAACGGCGGTACAAAGTTTGCCGGGTCAGATAGTTTTAAACTATAAAAAACAGACTTATCATAATACTAGTAAAGGAATAGCAACTTACCGTGACGAATTACTTTTCATTCTGTTCACAAATATTTCCACTTGCGATTTCAAATTCTCCACAAATTCGTCGATTTCTTTGTCTTCTGCATCATCCTCTTGGGCCTTGCTGGTGGTGGCTTTAACGAAATCCTATAAAATTCTTATAGTGACTAAGTTATATTAGATTTTATTGTTTGTTCTAAATGAAAATTCATAAAGTCTTCACTTATTTGTCAATTTAGTTCAAGATGTATTTAGTTAGAATCCTTTGTGGAGTTCCACAGCTAGAGGAATTCTTTTTTTTTCGTAAGCTTTGCTTTTAATCTAAACAATTTTTACTAGAAGTTTCACGCATGTCAATAAAAACCTTTAACCTAACCTTACAAGAATTAAATATTTTAAAGAAAAATAGCACTAGGAGTTACTTTTTATTAATTGCAAGATGTGCACATCTAAAGAAAATTTTAGTAGAAAAACAAACCATGCGGACCAGGTAGCAGATGGTATTCAAAAAAAATTGTTTTGTTTTGTTCAAATAGAAATGACTATCTACCTAGTCAACTCTAAGGCTATTCTTGATCATAGTTAGAAAGGGATGTCGCTATATATACCACATAGCGACACCCCTTTCTAACTGTACTAAAGTAAAGATCAACACTTAGGCCCAAGACAGTGATGGCGGTTGGCAATATTACTTTGATGCTTTTTTTGAACTAGATTCGAAAAATGGGTAATTTTCGAATCCCGATTTGATGTTATGTGTAAATGGAGTCCAGGTGCGAAGATAATCCTCTACATCTAGGAGCATGTGCTCACCAACAGAAAGATTCCATACCTCTACCCCGTGGATCCCTGGAATCTTATTCAACAACAGAAAAACAACACCGACTTTGAATTTAAAAGTCATAACGGTTTAAATTAAGAGACGATCTATAGCACACTACTTAATTTTAGCTATCAACGTGTTCCGCTGACGGTACGGAGTTGATGTAGTGAGCCCGTAGAGTATGCCTATAGAAATCCATACAAAGACTATTAAGCACACGAGTTGAGGCGGTGCTCGTCGGGTGCCAGATGGGTCTAGAGCTGTGGCCTTATAGTTTGTTTATGGTCCTAACGTCATTAGTGTCATGTGAAGGGTGCGACGTCAAGAGCGCGGGCGCAGTGGGCGCCGCGGTGGGTTCTCTGGACAGCCTCCGTTCCCAGTAATTGCGGTCCAAGTAACGAGATAGTTCTGCGTTGCTTTGAAGCTAAGGTTTATTTATAAAGTTTTTACGTCATAAGTGTTATGTGAAGGGTGTGGGCGCAGTGGGCTCTCTCAGTTTTTGCGGTCCAAGCAAGTAACGCGACAGTTCTGCGGTGCTTTGAAGCTAAAGTTACTCTGCTATGGTTCTTACGTCATAAGTGTCATGTAAAGAGTGCGATGCTAAGGGCGCGAGTGCGCTGGAGTGGAGTGCTGCAGAGGGTTCTCTGGACAGCCTTTGTTCCCAGAAGTTGACATCCAAGTAACGCGACAGATCTGCATTAAGGGCGGCGCGGCCGCAGTGGGTTCTCTAGACAGCTCGACAGTTCTGCGTTACTTTGAAGCTAAAATTTATTTATAAGGTTCTTACGTCATTGGTGTCATGTGAAGGGTGCGACGCCAAGGGCGCTGGCGCAGTGGGCGCCGCAGTGGGTTCTCTGGACAGCCTCTGTTCCCAGTAGTTGCGGTCCAAGTAACGTGACAGTTCTGCGTTGCCTTGAGTGCTATGATCCGGCGAGGCACTCACCGATGATGGCGTTGGCGACACTAGTATGTTTTGTTTGAAGTGACTATAAACATTATGCCACAGGGATTTAAAATAGGACTTTTTCCTAATGGAAATCCCTGTGGCAACCCGTTTCTTATTGGAAATCCCTATATTGTTGTATTGATTTCTAAAGGACAATGTTAAATTTGGCCTAAGAACCAACAAAAGTTTGCCATTTATGATAATTCTTAGTATATTTTGTGCGATAATTATCAGTACCTATATAAATAATAAATTATAAAATTAAAAGGGACTTTTTAATAGTAACTTCCATTTTATGTGTATTTTTTATGTTCTCCCCTTCCCCTTTTTACGCAGCCCAGTTTGCATTCTCGTTTTGGAATGTTGTTTGCTTATTTGTAATATGACTATTTTTCCTATAATTAATGTAGCTATAGCGATAACACGGTATTCATAATGGACTTTTTTTTTGTCTGGGGCATGCCTTACGCATCCTTCAACCACTGGGGGAGCGAGAAGAAGGTATGTGGGACTCCTCCATGTCCACTTCAACCAGCGGCCCGCTGAAGTGTACCTACGCCCTGAACAGGGCCACTAAAAACCAGACAATATCCCTGCACCGGGTGACACGGTTTCATTTTTTAAGCATGTAACTGCTTGATGTTTGAATCTAAAGAAAATATAACTAGAAAAAATTCCACGCGGACCAGGCAGCAGACGGGACTCGAACCCGCACCCTTCGCTATCCGGGCGAATGCACTGACCAATTATGCTACCGCGGCTCTGACGCCCGCGTCGAAATTCTTCTAGCCATTCTTAAGCTGCAAGGCAGCGCCATTTCTTCACATTGTAGATAACTCGCAATGTCAAATGAATACTTTTACAAGTACTAAACATTTAAACCACTGCCTGATCCGAGTGAAATTTTATCTAGTTATATTTTCTTTAGATTTAAACATCAAACAGTACCATGCTTAAAAAATAAAAATAGGCTAGTTGACTCATGTCGAATTGTATTGAATAAATGTTTATTTCTTAAAGTATTCGGTCTAAGGAACCTAAATATATCAATTTCACTTCATGAAAGCAGAAGATTGCTGTAGAAATTTAATTTAAAAAAATAATTTTTAGTCTATACTTTATAAACAATAAAAACGCTGTTCGCCACATCCGCCATGATTGTGAAGTCTCTTTTAGTAAACAACTAAATGTCATTCGTACATAACTTTAAAACTTGTATTATTAAAACTGATAATAAATGAAGAGACTTAAAATATTACTCAATGAGTACTTACATCAAAGTGATCTTCGCAAAAATAAATTTTACTATGAGTCGATAAAGTTGCAGGATCACTTTTAGCAAGTTCAAACCAGGTATTTCTTTAGGTTTATTTCTTTCGGCACTTTAATCCACAACTTTCCTGGAGTCTTCAAGGATGTATTTTTACATTCTCTTACAATACAATAATGATAATTACTATATTTTTCGTGGTATCTATTAGAAATCATGTTTTTTTTATTATAAACTCAGATAGGTTTTTTTTACGTGCTTACGAGTTTTTGTTTACTAGGTACCGTCAACGTCATATCATAGATAATCTATAGACTAAAATGGCCGACAGCGTTTTTATATGTCCATGAAAAGTCTATTTTAAAATTAAAGATTTGTAGCTTTCTAGGTCTCAAAAAAATACAACACATTTTTTTTCGGTCTAATAGAACATTTATTAATCATTTAAAACCTTTTTCCAAAAAGGGTCAACTAGCCTATTGTAAATAAATATTAGTATTTTTTTTATCTAAATACCAATTGGTGTCGATTCTGAAACGATTCTCTAAACTTAAAATTAAATTTAATATGAGTGTCTCCTTTTCATTCTGTATAGAGACATGGCAAGAATACATTGTTGATTAGTTTCAGGTTTATATATTCATGCCAAGCCACAATCAACACCACTGTTTATAAAAAAAAAACTTCATTCAATAAACTTACAAGTTGGGTGGAGTGATGAGTCTGGAGCAATGTGCGAGCGAGACTTACGCTCCTTCTCCTTTTGCTCAGCCTCCGATTGGCTGAGAGCGAGGGCCAGTTGCAATTCCTCTTCCTCTTGGAGCTCCTCCGCGGTTTTGCCTGGTGGACGTTTCTATGGATGGTACAAAAACAGAAATAGCATTATCGTAAAAATCTGCAATGTTAAAAATAGGAAAAAAAGCAATTTTTTGTGACTTGATTGAAAAGTTTCGAAAGTATTTACATAAATGTTTATTGTGTTAATTTTCAATGTTTTCAATATATAGATAGATAATAAACTCTTAAGCTCCATTTACACGATGCAATTCTCTTGTACAAACAAGACTCATACAAGTTCATTGAAATATATCGTAATCATGGGTGTTTATGGGACACTGAAAGTGTGAATTACAAGAATCGTGATGCACATAATGCTGCACTACAGCAATTTGTTTAGGAATATGGAGCTGTAGATTGATGTGGATGGATTTGGAACTAAGAAATAATAAACAAAAAAAATGTGTGAGTGTCGTGGAACCCTGGGATGAAACGAGTTAATAGGAGATTATTTACTAAGGGAGAAAATAATAATTTAAAAGGCAAGAAAGTTTTTTGAATCTAGTGTAGGATTTGTAGATAAAGACTGTATCACATTTATTAGCATTTAAAAAGCTATTTTGGTCCCTAGGGATTAAAACGCTATGTTGGTCATTGTAAATAGAGAACAAACTAGCTCTTCTCTCCTACTGAATAGATATTATATAAAAATATTTATATTACCCGCCAATCCACACTGGGCCTGCGTGGCGAGTCATGGCTCAATCTCCCTATTCCATAAAAAAATCCTACTCACCAATCCGCACTCTGACCAGTGCGGAAAGGAACTTTGTTGCAATAAAAGAAATTGAAGGACGCAGATCATGGGGATAGGAAAAATATGGGCACCGTTCCGGTACTGATAATGCTTACAAGTCAAAGCTTTCTTGGTATAATTTGATGGATTCTTTTTTACCATGTAGGTATTCTCAATGTTTCTCGGCTCGATCAAGAGTAGCAATGTTTACAAATGATATAAGATTGCTTAAGAAATTATTTTATGTGCTGTTTACACTAAGAAAAGTTTTGAAGCAAAACTTGTATAAGTGATACATCATATCAGAAATGTAATGTGCTGTTTAAGACCATGCAAGTTATTGCTTCAATTTAATTGTGCAACAGGCAAGAAACTTGCATCGTGTAAATGGAGCTTTATTGTGCACAACACATCAAATATTACATTACAGACTAGGGCCGTATACAGAAAGAAAGCCGATCGGCGCTTATCGGCGCCGATCCTTACTACATAAAGGAAGCCGATTAAAGCAGATCAAGCAAAATGTCGGACTCATCGGACGATGATTTGGTTTTGTTAGAAAATGTGTATTTAAAAATGGGGAAAAAGCTATACATCCTATAAATAGAGAAAGGAAACGTTTCGGAGAATACCATCATTTATTTGTAAAAAAAAATAAACATGATCAAAGATTTTATACATGTACGAATGACTCGATAAACATTTTATTACATTTTGGATTTAGTGAAAAACCGTTTGATGAAAAATTGGTGCCATTGGCATAAACAACCAATCCTTCCAGAAGAAAGACTTGTTGTCACCATGCGGTAAGTACGAAACAAATAATTTTAGCGGTTAAGTAGTTAATAAAAGATTAAGTTATAAGATTTATAAAAAGATTATAACTTAGATTGATTTAATCTAAGGATAATAATTCAAATACTAATTATTTATTATTCGGACAACATAGATCATAATGACCAGCTGACCAGCGCGTGTCGGCGCTGGTCCATAGAAAAAGGATCAGCGCTGATCAGCGCCGATCGGCTTTCTTTCTGTATACGGCCCCTAGGATAATAGATTGAAATCACTAGGTATATAGCAATTACTTTAAGACAACCGAAACTTTATTAAAACGTTATATGAGGGTTAACAGCAACAGTTGATTTAAATTTAGGCTAGATAGTAATACTCATTATTCAAAGTTGCCACCCTAATAAAAGTAAAATAAAATTACATATTTTCATATAGATAACAAAAGGGTGAGAAGTATGTATTTATCTTTTCATTCGGAATGACAGAGGATAAAAAAAAAAAGAGGTATTAGAATTAAAAGTCAAATATTCAGTTTATTATTCTATATTAACCCAAGATTTTAAACCATTTTCATAATAAAAACATTATATCATAATCAGACTTTACATTACAGAATCTTTAATAGTAAGAATCTTTGCTAAGAACAATATTCTTATTGTCTGTGTTTCATGAGCATTTTCTATCAATTGAGAAGCTGAAAAAAACCTATGTTACTTAAAAAACCTTAGCTGAATTATTATTCTTGGTAAGACATAAGTAAATTTACTTAATCTTAATTTTATATATTTTAAACTACCAACATGTTTTAAGAGTATGATATATTTAAGAAAAATCAAAACAATTAATAGCAAAATTAGAAAAGAAACAAAATGTTTTTCTGTTGTTACTTCATAAGAGACAAACAATATAAAAATGATCCTGAAAAATTTATGCAGTATTTATACATACATCTTTTGGCAATTGATTTTGAGGATCATTTAAACAAGACATAATTATTCATTATTATTTTTTATAATTACAAGTATTATATTTTTGTCTTAGTTCTAGTTCCGATTCAATCTCCTGACAAACTTGGGTGTTTCCGGTACAGTAAGAGGGGCAACGGATTTTTCTGGAACAAATGCTGAAGGAATAGGAGCTGGTTTTGCATGATGGACCAGTTTTGCTCTCAACTCTGCTTTTTGTTTCTCTTCAACTTCTTGCTGTTTTTTCTCTCTTTCCTGCCTTAATCTCTCTTGTTCTTGCTCTTTTTCCTTCAGCAATTGATCAAAGCGCTCTCTCTCTGCAGCCCTCTTTTGTGTAGTCAAGTCAAAAGGAGCAGGTTTTATGAGATGCGTTTGCTGATAAACTGGTTTAAAGGGCTCCTTGTAAAGAACAGTTGGAGGGCGAGCTTCAAACTTTACATGATTCTCTTTATTTTCTGAAGATGTTGTAGATGAACAACCTCTAGTACTCACTTTGTGCATTTGTTTCCGAACAACACCTGGCAGAGGATGTGCCTTGAACTGCGTAGCTTGTTTCATTTCTTCTTCAATTTGTCTTTTAATCCACTCTTCCTTTCGTCTTTTCAGTTCTTCATCTCTTTTTTCAAATGAAAATGGTTCAGGCTTCAATGGACCCTGTCTCTGTAGCTTTTCACAGGGTTTTTCAGGTTTCTGTATAGCATTGGCAGAATGTCCTCGTTGTTTGTTTTCAAATTTCAATTGATCAGCAGACTTTACTCGTTTGTAATGAAACTTCGGAGTAGATGGCAAAGTTATTTGCGTTGGTGGCTTTACTGGGATCTGCGGCTTTTCTAATATATGTTTTGGCACAGGACGCGCTTTAAATGTTTGAGTGTGATCAGGTGAGTTTACCACTTTTTTTTGCAGTTCTGTTAATTTAAATGGTTCAGGGATTGTTGCAGGTTTTTTTGTTACATCTGGCAAATGTATCGGACCTTCAATAACAGACTTGGGAATAGGATTTGCTTTGATTTTATATTTCTTAATTTCTTCAACTTCCATTTCTTCTTTTTCTTGCTGTGACATTATATGGATATTACGAACGCGTGTTTTACTTCGTAGTATAGGTGATTGCGGTCTAGTAAGCTCCGGTCGACTTGAAGAAATTTGAGTCTTAAATAAAGTTGGCTTTGAAGAGTGAAAACGTCCAGGAGTATCTCTTTGATAGTGGTAAATTGCTTCTGCCATTGATACAAATTTAGTTCTTGACAATTCCTGAGGTGCACTAAAGGGTTTCCTGTACCTTTCATACATATCATCATTATCACTCATCTCCAATTTCACCAAATCCTTCCGAAGAGCGGAAATATCATTCATTGATAAAGATTTTCTCATCGATCCCTGTCCACTTTCAAATGACTTATCCATCAAATTATGATCACCGAAATCTTCTTCAATAGGCGTTCTAGGTTCTTCTTTTATATGCATTTTGCTATAGGGCGAGTAAAAACACTCACCACGAAAGTTTGTCACGTGAATTTTAGCCATATTTTGTAAAATCAATCACAGTAAACAGGACACTGATCAATCAAAACGAAACGTCGTCGTTATTTTTAAACAAACGTCATTTTAGTTATTTTTTTTCGTTCTCCCTTTTCAGGGAAGGCAAAAGGATCAATGCCCATACAGCCTCATCTTCAGTTTTTTATTTATTAGAATTAGAAAATTAATTTTAATAAATAATTTTATTGTTTGATGAATTGATATTGCTTAGTATCAGTTTTTGACGTGACAACGTCTTAAATTAGGTTGCGGCTGGGAGTCACTTATGAAAAAGTGTAACGCTCGGTAACGTTACGATGAGTCTCTCGTGTTAAGTTTAAGTTTACATGTACAATGTTTTAGTAAACAAAATATATTTCTATAGTTAAAATTTGTGCAATTCTTATTTTCATTCAATTCCTTGTTCCTATTGTGCAATTTAATTATATTCATATCAATAAATATTCTACCGAGAAAAAGACGTTGTCACGTAAAATCTTCGCCCGTAAAACCGACTTTACAGGCAACCATTTTTTTTAAATGTATTTTATATATACAAGGAAATAAAAAGGCAGCTAACTATCAAAATAGACACAAACATATTTTATGAAAAACCCTAATATCGAGTTCAAATAATATACAACCTACCTATTTGCCTTTTTCCCGTTTGTACGGGTAAGGATACTGCGTCCATACAGCCCTGTCTAAACAGTTTTTTTGTATCGTTTTTTCTTATTGTTTTATGATCTTACAGTCAAGCAATTAAAGAACATTAAAATACACATTTGGAATTCGTGGCAGATAACGTATACTTATTGAGTAGTTATTGTAATGGTAACTTTCCAATTACAGCATTATAGCGCATTATGCGGCATAATGCTTAACGTTGAGTGTTTCAACTACAACAACGCTTCGCACAATCGAGCACTCTCAAAAGTAATGCTTTCGTGTGATGCGTGCAATCGTACCAACTCAGAGACAGAAATTAACAAATGTTTTTTCTTTAAGTTGGCATTGACCGAAATGTTTTATTTATATGTTATCGTTAGTAATATTATTTATTGTCGAAAAATTATTAAAAAATTTCCTTTCATTACAGTTTTTTTTTTAAATAATCAAAGTTAATTCAAAGTGTGTTAAAAAATTAAATATAAATATACGAAGGTACAAACATTGACTTTTTTTTTCAACACTGAACTTAGCGCACTCTGCTGGTTCATTTGAAAAGTAATTCACGTTCCAATTAAGCATCAGCATAATTCGGCATTGTGCGCCACTGAGTCGCATTATGCTCTGTGATTGGAAAACCACCAATAGTGTCGATTCTAGCATGATTCTCTAAACCTAAACTTAAATTTGACAGCAGTATGTCCTTGTCATTCTCTATACAGAATGAAAAGGAGAGACTGATGTTAAATTTAGTTTTAAGTTTAGAGAATCTCGCCAGAATTGGCACCATTGGTGTCGATTCTGGCACGATTCTCTAAATCTTAACTTAAACTTGACAACAGTGTTTCCTTGTCATTCTCTATACAGAATGAAAAAGAGAGACTGATGTTAAATTTAGTTTTAAGTTTAGAGAATCACGCCAGAATCGACACCATTGTTGATTATTTATAGTTTTGTATGCATGAGTGTCTACCAAACTTTATTTAGATTAGTTGGCAGAGTAGTCGTAAAACTCATGAAGTGGGAATTTTATTAGCAGTACTATCTTCTTTACTAAATCTTTTCGATGTACTTAGCCGATTTCACTAAATTATTTGATACATCTTGGATATATAGCTTTTTTTTAAACATGCGTTCAATTGAACTGAAAGACTATTGCAAAATTGTACAATGCTTTTTGAAAATATTTGTTTTTTACTAGGAACCAGAAATTATGGATATCGGGTGTGGGGATGAAGAAATGTTTCTGTTTTGAAATCTTAAGGCTTTTTAATTTCTCATTAGTATTTTGCACCTATTTTTGTGTAATTAATAAATGTTAAACTTTAAAGTAAATATATAAAAATAACTGCAGATTAGGCTGTATGTATGAAGGCAGCAGTATTCTTTGTCTTCTATAAGTTCGGAAGAATTACGATAAAAAAAATGATATCCGTAATTTGTTTTGGAATTGATGTGATTCAAAGAAAACCATTATTGAATAAGATTTTAGAGAAACCGTTGAAAAGCGGAAAATTTAATTGGTCAAAAATATGACGCAAGCTACGCTTCCTAACCCAAATACATTGTTACCGCTGGAACTTGTGGACAAGTGCATAGGTTCAAGAATTCACATTATCATGAAAAATGATAAAGAAATGGTAGGAACGTTACAAGGATTTGATGATTTTGTAAACATGTTATTAGACGATGTCACTGAATATGAATCTACGCCAGAAGGAAGGAAAATCACGAAATTGGATCAAATCTTGTTGAATGGAAACAACATTGCTATGTTAGTACCTGGTGGTGAAATGCCTGGTGAATCATATGATGGACAATAAGACTTAATTACTCAAATTACTAGTTTAATATATATTGTATACTGAATGTTTTTTTTTAATAATCTTACTTACCCAATATCTTACTGCTTAATAAATAACCTCAAAGTAGGTAATAGTACCGTGCATTTACCTATGAGTAAGGTAAATTCCTACTAATCCAAGCCACTGTTCATTAATTTACAGTATAGTTATAATTTAAAAAAAAAAAAGTTGCTTCTGCATGGTAGAAAATCTATAAAAGATCCTTGTTATATCAAGATCATAAAGATTGCAATACATGTTTCCATACTTCCATTTTGTCTAAATTTTATAACTGAGAAATTTATTGAGAAGATTGGGATACAACTCACTTAGCTCTAAGCTTTAATAAAATTAGTAGAAAGCACCCTGGATTCCTGTTCTGAAAATGTTAACAATTAAGTTTTAACTTACCTGAGGTTGAGTAGGGCCATAGTCGTTTGATGTATCAACTATTTCTAATTTCACTGTTGATGAAGGAGGGCGGCTTACTTTGTCATAGCAAGCATCACATACACGGACCTAAGTAAAAGGGTTTTTTTAGTGTTGCTGTAACACTACAGGTATAAAGATATAGCAAGGAAATTAACTTAATAAACAAACATTCAACAGGAATAGAATAGTACCTCTTTCTCAATTCCAAATTTAGGTAATGTTGATGTTTTAGAGCTACATTGTTGACAAAAAACTTGTCCACAAGCACGACAGTGGTGACGGCGAACCATCAAGGAGAAAGCGACACGGCATCTGCATACAAATAATATATAAAGTAATAAAAGTGATTTACTAACTTTAAATAAATAACAAATTTTACTTTTTGGGATATAAATTGAATGAAACTATTTCTGAATTACCAGAATCTAAGGTGTGCAGCACCAATTTCAGTTTACATTAATATCTATATTATGTAAAAAAATCTTTTATTTACTACCATAAAGAAAGAAATATTGTATATGTGAGCACAAACCTGTGACATACTTCTCCGTCTGCCCATTCTGGTGCAGTATCAGCAGAAAACATTGCATCTGATTCTTTCAAGGCTGGAAACTTAAAGCCTTCAGCTTTCAATATGTTCACTGTGTCCTATACAATGAATAATAAAATATTTAAAAACTTAACAACACAAGCCTTTTATTGTACAAAATACATTAAATAAAATATTCATGTTGAGACAAAGGATTAGGAAATGTTTATCCAATTGAGTTTTTTGATGATTCATCTTTGATAACACATGATGATATTGTGATAATAGTAATTTTGTGTATAGTAACATTTATTCTATTAATTTTCAAAGATAACAGCCTCATTGTGTTAATATATTTATTGTTTAACAAGGTTCATTTTTATCTAGTATGAGGACAACATTGAAAACTTTAGACACAATAATTGACTTCATAAAAGTACCCTCTATGCTTTTTAGTTATATATTCACATTCCTGGATATGCAGGCCAATGATATGGCCAATGTAAACAACATTATATATCACAGTGCTTGATTAAAGCTAATGAAGAGCACACAAATGGACATAACACAATTAGCTGTTTATTTATAAGTTATGAACCTCACCGCAGATCTTTAAAAGTTATCCATACAATGAAAATATTTCAGCTCAATATATCTAATTAAATTAAATTGTAGCAGGATCAATAAGTATGGCGGCAGTGTTAGTGGAGAAAACACGTCGCCTATTCAACCTTGAGCAAAGACATACAATGAGCAGTTCAATGAACCGTGAACTATCTAAATTACAAACTTTAAGTTTGTATTATAAAGAACTAGTACTAAAATTTGAACTGAATGTCCTTTAACACATAATCAATCCTTATACAGGTGTTAGTTCATTAGTGAAAAGGTTGATCATTTAAAAAGATCACTAGATTCATTTAAATTTAATGCTTATCATAGTGATGAGTTGTTTTATTTTTTGCTTTTTCAGAATAAGTGACATTATTCCTATTAAAACTTAAAAAAAAAATTGATATCTCTAACTTAGCCTCAAGTAAGCAAACTCAAATCATTAGATAATTATAATGAAAACATTAAGCACCCAAATATTTTGTACTGTATTTTTACAAGACAATGGCAAAAATAAGTAAGTAAATTGGACATTATTTGTATTTTCACTATTTGCCTGTGAAAATAGGGCATACCTGAACAGACCGGTATTTGGGAGTATTGCGAAAAGCAAAAGCCCAAGCCTGTATGAGTTCCAGAATTTTATTTCGTAGATTTTCATGCTGTGTAGTTTTAACTAGTTCACGCAGCATCTCGCAGAAAGCTTTTGACGTGACTTCATCATGAATTCCAGAGCCTATGAAAACATACATAAGTTCCAGAATTCATTGTAATAAAAAAATCCTAAATAATTTATTTAGATTAAATATAACACCTAAGAAATCACTTATATAAGAATCACCAATATATCCCTTTCATTATTTTAAATGGTGTAAAAAATATAATATACTTATAATGTATCTGATTAAGGTGTCCAGTTAAAGACAGTACTTGTGTTGTATTTTTCTACACCATAAAGATGTGATAAGACTTACATAAATTGAGCAGTTAATTAAAAATATAAGTAATAAAGTCATTCCAGAATAAAAGTTGAACTAAGCATGGCTTAAATTTTTTTTCTCATATTTGCATGCTGCACTCAAGTTAAGACAGAACATAACTTGGCTAAACTGTACTTCCAGGGCCCAAGTGGTGATACATCACACTAGGTTAGGTTAGGTTAGTGTTGTATTCATAACGCGCGAGCCAAGTGAGCAAAGCGAGCGTGCCGCAGCAGCGGCCGGCGAAGCGCCAGAAAAAAAATCTGTTAAAAAAGACCTTTTCTACAAAAAAAATCAAGTATCACCTTTTGGGCCCTGGAAGTACAGTTTTACCCATAACTTTAAGGTCAGCGTAATGATCTTAGTAGTATTTTTCATACTTCTTTCTTGCTCTGATAATCTATTAATAAAAGTAACTTTGTAATTTGGGATGTTGTCTAATGTTTTGGAATGGACTGTGTAGGTATAGAAAAATATTGAATTTTCTTTTATGTGGTTACTATAATTTATAAGTAAATTTCCATAAATTTATGTTTAATCAAGAATGGTTGTCATTCACTTCCGTACGAGTCCTGCAATAAATGACTCAGCCCACCTGATTAACTTAACCTGAAGATCATTAAAGGTTAAATTTCCAATTGATTCACACACTTTCCAATGTAAAATACAATGATTAGTTAGTTATAGTGGTTTCATTTGTAAAACATATATAAAAGCTTGAATTTATGCAATACATACCACAATTTTTCACTATACTTTCTAAGGTGAGTAATGCAAACATTGCCTGATGAGGATTTTGGGAATAAAGTTTCTTTTTAACTGCAGCCACTGCATACTTAGGTCTAAAACGAAAAACAAGATGATAAACAGTTCTATTAGTGTTTTGAATTTTGGAGATTATTATAAAGAATACTTACGAGCAATCATTTTGCCTAATTAGATCACAAATCTGCAATATAGTAGGCCAATCTGGATCCAGGCGTAGATTACTTGTAGCTTTATCTAGTTAATAATGGTAAAGTGATTATTAGTTTACAATTGACTTGTTGTAAAAAAGGATATAATAAATGCAACAAAGTATAATAAACAGCAATCTTATGAATATTTTACTTCTTAATAATAGAAAATTGTAGAAAGTAATGTAAAACAGTGAAATGCAATCCGATAAGTATGAGCAATGATTAATTATTTTTCCATGACACTTTGCTAGTAGAGTTTAATTAACTTACCAAGTAATTTATCAAAGTTGTTAGCCCGAAACATGGTCAATTTTGATGAAATAAACTATTGTTTTTCTAAAAATACACAAATTGATTCACTGTTTAGAAAATGACAGAACACTTTTGTCAATTTTGTTATTTTTATTCGTATGTTGACAGAACTGCTTAAACGTCACAATGAATCTAAGTTGCCAGTAAAAAAAAATGAGGTAGATTAAGGGTAAGTACACATATGTGTCATTTCTAATCCATGCGGTGACGCAGAAAGAATACTTTTCTCCACCCCTTCTCTTCCCGTGGGTGTCATAAAAAGCGACTAAGGGATATCGGAGCTTCTATCCGCTCTTCTGGTAGTAGGGTGCCTAACACCCTCCTGGTTTGTTACGTGCGCACGGTAAAAAACCCGTGAAGGTCTTCTCGCGCGTTTCGGGGTCTCCACTCTAACCTCAACGCTGTCCACCACCATCTTGAGACAGCACGGCCAGCATTGTTGTTCCTGACGGAGACACAAATTCTTCCGCCTGCTGACAAAGGCTACTTTAACTATCCCAGCTACGTGCTTTAAGGGTCTCTCATTATTGTCGCCGTCTCTGCTGCTTGGAAGATCCCTCCTTGTCCATGCTGGGGTACCCTCAGCATCTCTGGTCCCCTGGCCAGAGTCTACGTGTGCCTCTATAGATCCCACAAAGGCGATGTTGAGACAACTCGAGTTTTTGAGCACCTAAGTCGGGTAACAGATGACGCGCAGGAACAATTTCATTGCAGAATTGGTGTTTTTGGGGGATTTTAATCCTCACCACAATTTGTGATTAAGTTCCTCTAAAATGGACCATGCAAGGCTCTGCTCACGCATTCGCTCTCACGCATAATTTGAAGCAACTGGTTGATCAGCCCACATCCCAGATATACCAAGTGAAGCGCCTCTGCCTACCTTCTGCTCACGACCCATCCACAGGGTTATCAGGTTGTGGTAAAAGCCCCCCTGGGCTCGTCGGATCACTGCTTGATATCTGCCGAACCACCACAGGTCAAGCCCCCGCGTCCAGCGATGGTCAAACGCCGTATCTGGCACTATGGGTCGGCAGATTGGGACTGTATGCGTGACTACTTTGCGTCCGTCCCTTGGAAGCAGTGCTGCTTCAGTGAGAGGGTCCTTTCGGCTAGCGTCGTTGATATTACTGAGGAGATTATAATGGGTAAAGAATACTATATTCATATCCGGATCCGGACAGCGAAGGGTGCGCGTTCGAGTCCCATCTGCTGCCTTGTCCGTCGTAGAGAATATAGATTTTTCAATTGAGCTATACGCCGAAAATGCATCTGAACATCATTATAAAATCGACGTATAGAACATTTTAATTATTTTTAGCACATCTATTTTCAAAAATAAGAAACTATAATAGGTTAAAAACTTTTCATGGTCTGTATCTCAAGATTTTAGGTATATTTTGAATACATCACCTTTTTATAACTTTAAAAACACAAGTGTAATGAATTTTAATTATTTAAAAAAAATGATTTTAGCTCTCCCTCCTCTGTCCTTTGGTTTTATGCTTTACGTCCTCAGATTAAAACATTTGTTTTAATCTAAGTTTACGTCAAATGAAATTACCAACAAGCTATAAGTATCGATATACTCAAAAAATTTGTGTAACAAATCTTCAAGTTGAATAATGCCCGGGCTCACTCATTGACGGGATTCCTTGGGATTTAGTCATAAAGACGTAAATAATATATGTCAATTATCTGGATCATATGAGATAAATATAATTAAATTATGATGATGATTTATCCAATATTAGTGCTGAAAAAAGGAATTGACAGCTTTTTTTTATGTGTTTGCAAGTTTTGCTCCAGTTCAGCTGATAAAAATAATTACCTAAATTTTTTTTACCAAAAATGAGATAAGTTCTACTCACTTATATGATTTTACTTGTAATTTGTCATTGATAATGCAGTCTTATCATGTGCTATGGTTGTATCGTAATGTTGTGCGATAATACTGTTTTCATTATAAAAAGGTTTACTACAAAAGATAACACGTAGTCATTTCTTGTTCCATAAATAGCAAAGTGATGTTACGAGGTAGTTCAATTTTCCAGATATAAAAATATATTGTGACCAGTTTTTTGTGACTGTCGATTATTTGAAAATTATATTATATAAGTGATGAAAATTATCGATGGTGGTGATGTGAAGAAACACATTAAGTCTGAAATGCAGATTACAAAAAAGATGTTGTCCGAATTAGATTCAAGTATAGACCAATTCAGGACTCAATTATTAGCAACAAAAATGCTGATATCTTCGTTGCAACAATATACTTTAGCGATGAAAACAATGTATCACGATTTAATGGAACTGAGAGAAATAATAGTGATTTTATATCCGCACTTGGAAAGATCAAGATTAAGCTGGCTAATGTTTGAAAATAAGAGTTACTTAATTGAAAAAGTTAATGCCATTTCAGACTCTCCTAGTTGACACTTAAACTACATTAAGTAAGTTTGAAAAATGTGCCAATATCACATAGACATCTTAAATGTAGGGAGTAGTATTTATAAAAAAGTTTTTAATTATATATTTTTTTATGAATTACTGTGTTTTACTGTTTTATTTCAAAATCCTTTAGTGAATAGGTACATGATAAATTGTGCAGCTACTAGCTAGTGCATAATTTTAAAAAGGTAAAAAAATATAGTTCGTTTTATAGCATGGCTGTTTTTAACTGTATATTTTAGTTCATAGAATTATTAATTTTTATTGTGTGTTTTTAATGCTGAGGTACCGCAGCAAATGGGAATTCAATGACACACACAGGATACCCTTACAATTTTAGATATCCATTTCCTTACAGGCATTGAGAAGTAATTGTTCATAAAACGCACATACCTTAATATACACATATTATACACATTTAAATCTAAAGAAAATTTTACTAGTACAAATCCACGTAGAACTAGGCAGCAGACAGGACTCGAACCCACACCCTTCGCTTTCCGGGCAAATGGAATAGATTCTAACATCTAGCAGTTGAATGCTAAAATAATAAAAAAATGGGTGCGTGTACTTATGTAGGCGCGTGAGAAGTTATCCTTCTTTGGCATCGTTTAAAATTAGTTTTTAATTGCATGCAAATAATTAATTACAATAAATTAATAAAAAGTCTGGAAAAGGACACAGTCAATAAAGTTCAGTTTTAATTTGAATAAAAAAATAAATAATCAAAATATTTAATTAAAATCGCTACTGAATATAATTTATTAGAACATATGTGATTTGCACTTGTATGAAACTCAAACACGTATTCCGAATATACAAACTAGAAACATGTGGATAAATATTATAAATATGAATACCTATAACTGTTACTTTATTACAAAAAATAAAGATGTGGTTTTTGGTTCTACTACACCAATGGTCAAGAGATGGCGCTGTAGTCTCCTGAATCGCGCTTTGGTTCCGTTGTTCGTATATATATATACTAGTGGCCCGCCCTCGCTTCGCTTCGGTGTAGAGCTGTAGTGTAGACTATAGTTTTTGTTCTCAGGCTTGTATTATACAAAATGACATTCTTCTAATACCTAATTTTAATAGGCACGCGCCGCCAGGCCCCCCGCCCGGTAGCGTCGGAATCGCTCATTTTTAAGGTGTAAAATACTGTAGTACGTTATTTTGATCTATCTCGAAGGGTTCAGCCAGCGTTTGCAACGTAAGCGCAAAAAAATGTGTTTATATACAACCTTACATTAAAAACCTCTAAAATTATCAGTGTTTCTCTACTATTTTATGCATGTATTATACATATAAACATTCCTCTTGAATCACTCTATCTATTAAAAAAAACCGCATCAATATCCGCATAAAGATCTAAGCATACGTAGGGACATAGGGATAGACAGCGGGAAGCGACTTTGCTTTATACTATGTAGTAATTTAATAGGTACAGAAACTGAGCGCAGTTATTACATGGTTAAAAACATAAACCTGGTAAAAATTGACTGACGTTTCATGTCAAGTCACACGGGAACGCTGTCGAACGGGATAAAAAGTATCTTATGTCCGTCTCCTGGCTCTAAGCTACCTCCCTACCAACTTTCACCCAAATCTGTTCTGCCGTTCTTGAGTTATAAGTGGTGTAACTAACACGACTTTCTTTTATATATATAGATATAATTTATTTTATTAACGGGATTGCTACCATGTACCTTGTTTTTTATGAGTCCCGGAGTAACTCCGTAATCATGCTGCTTGCAACAGTGCCGAAATACGGGGACTCATGAAAAACAAGGAACACGGTAGTGTGGTAATTCTCCTACTATTTTCATCATTCAGTTCATCCCCGGTTTTGATCGGACACTGTTAGCACTAGAAAGCTATAATTTTGTCGCGATATGTATATCAATCACGCCGATAAAATGGTAAAATAATTTTTTGGATTTTTTTTTAGGGTAGCGCCCCCTGCATTTAAGCTGGGGATGTGTTTTTTCATCGTTTACCCTATCGTGTGGGGTATCGCTGAATAGGTAATTTAAAATTATTTAGGGGTTTTTAAGACTATTTTTCGATTTAAGGATCCGTTTGCGAAATATTGAACTTTAAAATGCTAATTTTTGTTCGAGTAGGGTGTCCTCTAAATCCTAAACTATTGGCTTGAAAACCCTAAAAAAAACCACTGCGAATACCCTCTAAACTGCTTAGTGCGAAACTGACGGATCCCCGTTTAGGGATTCTTCCGCGTCTCCGCACCCAGCAGCCTCCCGGCCTAGCCGGGGCTCCACGGCAGGGGTCTCCCGAGGTATGGCTTGAAAACCCTGGAAAACTTTATGATAATAGTGCATTTCATATACTTATAAAGAAAATTATAATGGCTAAGATAAGTTTGTTAGTTTAAGAGTTATAGTCGTACAACTTTGGTTAAATATTCTTTTTTACCTATTGAAAGTTCCTTACAAAAAAACATTAATATAGTTATCATCAACAGCCTATCTTAGTCCACTGCTGGACATTGGCCTCTCCAAATGCCCGCCACTCAGATCAGTCTTGGGCTACTCGCATCCAGCTCCTGCCAGCCTGCCTGCCTGTTGCGCAAATCGTCACTCCATCGCGCCTGAGGACGTCCTACACTACGTTTGCCTAGACGCGGTCTCCACTCCAGAACTCGT